AATGTTGGAAAACGCCGAAATAGCAAAAGTCAAAAGGCCGATAGCCAGAATCGCGACATGCAAAATAGCTGTTCCAAAGCAGGGTGTACTAGCGTCAACAGTGTGTCGGGATTTTCGGTGTCGAGATTTTTAGCATGTCGGCATTTTAGCATATCGGCATTTTGGCTCTCGGGGGCTATGGCTGGAATCCGAAAAAATTTTGATAAACAAACTATTTTGAGCCTAATGAGCGAATTTTTGGGGAATTTGGCGTGTTGCCAAAAGTCTAGAGGCTCCACCTTGCCTTCCTAGTCCCTTTAAACCCTCCCAACTCATCGGATTACTCTCCAATTTTCGCGATTAATCTCCAATGCCATTCGCCCGGGGTCGCTAATTTTTTTCGGGTGGGGGGTGCAATAACCCGGCAGAGTCGCCCCCATTATCTCGACAGCGAATCTATTGTTTTCCGGTTTTTTTAGGAGTGTGCACTTTTTGGGGGGCATATCAGGAGGGGGTATTCACTATTTTCCATGTCTTTTCTGGTATAGTTCATTCTTTTTTGGTCGCTTGAAGTTGGTGAAACTTTAAAGTGATTAGAAAGTGCGAGAATCGAGAGCGAGAGAGAGAGAGAGAGAGAGAGAGAGAGAGAGAGAGAAAGAGAGTGAGAGAAAGACATAGTGAGTGAGAGAAGAGAGAGGGAGAGATATAGAGAGAGATTTATTTGTCTAAAATTGTCTGATGCTTGCTTGTTGATGTGTTTCCCCCTAAATAGCGCTAATTTTGAAAAGTTTTCCAGCCTGGAGGAAAAGCGGAAAATCCGGGGGTGATTGGGCCCATTCGACGGGGTGGTTCGCATGCAAAGCAAGTGCGGGGAATCCGAAGACTTTTTGGCGTTTCTTCCGGAGTGGGAGAGCGAGAGAGAGAGAGAGGGAGGGAGAGAGGGAGGCACAGAGAACCAGTTCCATACCGACCCTCCAGCCAACAACCCCTCCTTCTTTTGTGGCTCTGGCGCCTCGCCAATTTTATGGGTTCTCCTGGATTTCTGCCCTGAAGCTAGGAAGCAAACTTTCCAAGTTGAATCTGGAGGTTTACGATTAGCTCTCTCTATCTCTATCTCTACCTATCTCACTCCCTCTCTCTATCTCTCTATCTCTCTCGCTCCCTCTGCCTAACTCTCGTTTTTCTCTCACTCTCTTTCTCTCGCCCTCGCTAAAACTCAATCTTAGAAAATTCCCCAAGAATCTCTGCTAGCTCGCCTCCTAATGAAAGTGGCCATTCCCAAAAATCCAACAATTCCCCCCAACTCCGAGGGGTTCAACTCCCTACTTTTAAGGGCCATTGAAGTGAAATGAGACCCCCAGGGGCCCGGGACAGTTTTTAGGACTCAAAACCGGCCCTGCCCTGGTGATGGCTTGCCCTTCTTGGGCCCCTTCTTTAGGGCGTGTGCCTCACATGGGAGTGGTGTCTCCTTGGAAACTGGGCCCACCCGGGCCTGGGGCCCCTGAAATTCCGCCACACTCCGCGCGAACGTCCCCCGCTGGGCCCCCGGGGGAATTGCCGTAATTTACTCCCCATATGGCTTAATCTACGGCTTCCGGGATTTGAGGATAAGTGGGGGCTCAACGTTGGATCTTTATTTCTACGCGAAATTCCATGTTTTCTATGCGAATTTAAGTTCATGTTTAACCGTGGGAATGGGCCAACTGACCCCAAAACTTTGATCCTGAGGAAAAAGCAAAAAAATGGAGGTCCCGAGACTCGAACCCTGACCCTCAACTTGAAAGCCCAACACTCTACCGACTGCGCTAAAGCGTTCAGAAAAATTTTTTGAAGATTCTTCGGGTTAATTTCGTGTATTTTTGGCTACAAAATCATGCTAAAAAGGTCCGTACAGCTATGTAAATTGTCATAACACAATATCTAACCTTTCGTACCTCTTTAAAATGCACTTTTCTTGCCCTTTTTCGCTTAAACCTCGTGTTTTTAACCTAATTTCCTCTTAAGATGTTTTCTGACATCTTTCCAACCAGATTTCCTTAGAATGTACATATTTACGGGGCTCAAAATCTTGGATTCTATTTACATTCGCGTTAGCCGAATTGTACAGCCGGCCGCTCAGGTGTCTACCCCGCTCGCCGAGAGTTGTTCACCGAACGGTTCTTGCTATGAGAAGAAGAGAGGGCGAGAGCGAGAGAGAGAGAGAGAGAGAGAGAGAGAGAGAGAGAGAGCTAGCGAGAGAGTGAGAGAGACAGAGAGCGCGAGAGGGAGAGAGAGCGAGCGAAGAGAAAGCGAGCGATATAACGAATATCATACCACCCAGCTCGCCATTTCTCATTCCTAAATAATGCCCCCCGCTCTCTATTGTTCGCTTCGTTATTCTGGGCCCCCCAAATTTGGAGTGGGCCCCCCAGGTAATATGAAACCCGCACCTCTACATGCCCGTTGCCGCGCACCCAATTTTCTAGCCTCCAATTCTGGCCTCGATGAACGGCGCGGCCGGAAATGTCGCAAGATTCGGTCCTGGACTAATTTTTGCTTTTTTCGCCTATACCATCTGCCTGTTAATAATATAACATATATTTTTTATAGCATTTTATCTCTAAAACTGTGTAACATGCTATAAAAAATGGCTTAATGTTGTTGTAGGGCCGTACCAGATTACGGGGAAAAATTCGCCCCCCGCTAACAGTCCAGTACCCTAAATTCTTTTTCCACCTCTTTCCCAAATTTGGAAAAGCCTAAATTTTTATGGATTTTGTGAAAATCCAGAAAAACTCAATTACGCCCGCGTGTGCATTGGCGTGTCGCGTAGTGTCGCTTAGTCGCAAAAAATCCAGTTACGCATAGATCCTAAAAACGCCCGGACTTTGTGCGGTAATTATGAATGGCGATGTTGTTAGATTACGGTTTATAAGTGCTTAGTTCGTATTTTTGGAAGATCAAAGCTAACTGTCGAATCGATTACGCCAAGAAATTCATCGTCGTTTACAAAGCAATTTATCGAAAGTATCAATCAACAATAATTTTCCGTAAAAACTCTGGACGATTAATCGCTAGCCACAGTAAGACTGTTCCTTTCCACTTTTACCAATCTTCAAAAATGAGATCCCCGCCCCAAAAAAATGCTAGTTTCCGTGTCACGGTGCGACCAGCTGTTCCCTAAAATGCACCTGCCATCCCGCCCGGGTAGGTCAACACTCACCATCAAATCCGATTATTCTACCTCTTTTGTTTTTGCTATTTCACGCCCGGCTACAATCTGCTTATGCAGAAGCGCAATCCTTTGTGTTTGCCGGCCGTCATCAACAGTTTTCCGGGGGTTTTCGGCGCTCTATTTTTGTCCGAATTCTCGCTGCAATTCCCCGCTAAAATGTGCCCCTGGATACGCGCCGGTCCCTGGCTACTGTAGCCCCTAGAGCCCCGGGAAATTTCGCTAAAAATTTTTAACGAAATCCTGGGAATTTCTTACTGCCTAATTGGGGCGGCATTCGGCAAGTTTTTCCGCTTTTTTCATAGTGAATCGGGGTTTTTCTACAATTCCGCAAAGAACCCCTGCTAGCTTGCCTAGAATTCCGAATTTTTCGACAAAACACAACGTCTTTCTATTTTTCTAGAATTTGTCGAAATTGGCCCCGAACCCTGTGGCGGATTGGTTAGGCTCACTCCTCTCGCCCACACGACCCGACTTCGACCCCCGCCGCGGCTAACTTTTTGCTTTTTTGGGCATAACTTCTGCCTACCGTAGTAGGCTGGGCGGCTTTTAATTTTTCCGATTTTGTCCATTCGCTTAGATGTCCACAGGACTTTGGCGTAGTTTGGAACGGTGCGTAGCTGTCGAGACCTAGTTCAAGGGAGGGTGGGTTGTTGCACCTCCCAGTTCCTTTAAAGCATCCCCGGATAGGTTCCGAAGTTTCTTAAATGGACTCGTAAGCGCTAGAATCCATACCCGCGGAAAAATTAGGTGACAGCTAGCAGCAGTAACAGCGCGTCAGTTGGAGTAACGCGTATTGGCTAGACCTAGTTGTCGATTCGCGCCCTTCCGAAAACCTTTAAAGCAACCGGAAACCGGGGGAAACTCTGCTCTATCTGATCTGGTCATTTCAATCGCTCAGCCGGGGGTATGTGTGGGCAGTTCTCGGGCCCATAAAAGGTTGCTAGGTGGGGGCGGCGGGGAAGGAATTGAGAAGAGTCAACACACACACTCAGCACTCCCTCAAAAATGCCCTTATTTTTGGTTGATATCTCTCTCTATCTCTCACTCTCTCTCTCTCTCTCTATCTCTCTCTTTTCTCTCCCCCTCGCCGCGCCAAAATAGGGTTCTTGAGGAGTGCGGATGTTAGATTCGGAAATTTGTTGTTGGTAAACACTCCCCCACCTCGTGACGTTTTTTCAAAGTTTTCTAAAGGTGCCTTGAAGTGAATAATCCTCTTTTGGTTTTTGACTATTAATGCGCAAACGATTCCTCAAGCATATTTGCTAGCTTGCCATTTTTAATTTGTTGCTCTGCCTCTTTTAGAATGCTTCACTCCTCCTCGAGGATCTCTGCTAGCCTACCTTCATCTTTGACGTTGCATAGCTTTTCGAAGAGCTTCGGTTTCACGTTTCTACTTCTAATTAAATACCGAATTTTTTAAAGGGATTGGCAAGCAAAAATCCATACAAAATTGACCTCAAAGTCCCTTTAAATTCACGGCACAAGCGTAATGATGGAGTTTGTCGTACTTTTCTGAGGGCAAACCTGTTCAGGGTTGTTGTCTCGCGGACCGGGGGATGGTCATTTCGATGCGCATTTTTCTCTGCTTCTCTGCTTCTCTCTCTCTCTCTCTCTCTCTCTCTCTCTCCCTCCTATAAATTCTTCAAGGCCACCGTCTCTCCCTCTTTCCTCACGTGGGCCACCCACCCACGCTGGTGATGCTCGTTTTTCGGCAGGGTTTTAAGCAATCCTCATAGCTTGAACGCTTTCTGGGTTTTAAAAATGTGACCATATACCGTATTCTGCCGGAATTTACGTTCTTTTGAAGATGCCACGTTCGGAGACGACGTCCCCCGAGGATTCGGGCGGATTTTGCTGCTGCCTCGGGTCAAGCCGAGTGAAAGATGAAGATCATCCCGTAACGTTTATTAAAAGTAAGTAATTTTTTTCTTTACTGCTCCCCCCCCTAACAGTACAGTACCAAAGACAATTGTCGATACCCAGTCGAAAGGGGACGATGTATACATTCTCTAGTCCGTTTAACCGCTTTTTACAGGCGAACCCATCATGACCCAGCCAAACGGCACTGCTGTAGCAGGGCCGCTCGACGGTGAGGTATCTGGCATTCGGACGAAAACAGCCGAGCAGACTGTTGATGGATTTGATGATGTTTCCCTCGAGACACGGCCACAGCCCATTGTACACCAGGTGGGAAATGCTAAAGTGCACCCAATTACATGTAAATTGAGTTTAAAGGGACTAGGAAGGACCGGGGAAAAAAATTTCTTAGAGATTTCATAATTCCTATATAAGATTTTTTACCCTGCTATTTTTAGTACACGGAATGATCGAGGAAAATCCCGAATTTTAAAAACCGTTTGCCGAAGATGACAAATTTAAGCAATGTCGACATTGAAAATGCCGAATTCAAGAAAGTCAAAATGTCTACAATCACGAATTTAATCAACTGAATATGAAAAATATTCTATTTCTGAAATACTGAAATTCAGGAATCCCGACTACTGTGCTTTAAAAATATCGAATGTCGAAAATGCCAGCTTTAACAGCCGTAGATCAAAAATACCGAAATGTCGAATTGTGAAAATGGCCGCAAAATCACCCAAATTCCGAATTTAACAATACCGACTCTAGCAAAACGGCGGATTTCGGAATACCGACACACGAAAATCCTGGTTTAATATAACTGACAAAAGATTAGCATTTCCGAAGAATTACCCCCGAATATGTAGTGTCTCTAGGCGTATAACGGAGTTCTTAAATATTTCCAGGAGATTCAGCAGACATTAATGCACAAGGCAAACTACTAAAATGAGTATTTTTTTACCACTTTGTTTATCTGAATCTTGCCCTTTTCCAGAAAGTCGAACCTCAGACCCTGGCCACCCAGGAGACGTTCAACATCAACGACCTCAACATGGATGCAATGTGCACGGAGGAGGATGATGAGAATGGAGAGCATATTGTTGAGGTAGAAGAATTATTCTGATGTAATGTTGAGAATCTAGGACGCTCCGGATATTGGGAATGATGTGGTGGAAGAGGTGGACGAGGCCGACCTTCACAAAATCCACCATATACCCCAGCTGGCGAGGGCGGATACGCACAGCACCGGCGAACGGTCGGATGAGGTGGATTTTTGGGGTTTAAGATTTTTTTGACAGCTTTCTCTCGGCTCGAAAGGTATAGAGAGGAGCGAGGAAGAGAGGAAGAGAGAAAGAAAGAGAGAGAGCGAGAGAGAGAGAGAGAGAGAGAGAGAGAGAGAGAGAGAGAGAGCGCGCGCGCGAGATCGCAAACCAAAAAATGTATTGGTTCGGAATTCCTTCTACTGTATTTTTCAGGAATTAACCTTCAAGCAGATGATCGCCGAGGATTACTATGAACGCACCAAGAAAAAGCTCCTCAAATCGATGGGTTAGTTTGTCTCATAAAAATCCTTTATCAAAATTTCCCCAAAAATCCCTGCTAGCACCCCCAAACCCCACTTTCAGAAAATGAAACCGCCGAAGAGGAAAACGACAGCCAAAAATCGTACCTAAACCTCGACCCGGCCAACCCGGAAAAAGACACCGGTTCCGTGATCGTCCACAACACAGATGGTGGGCTATTGTGACGCATGGCAATATGAAAACACTATCTAGAAAAACCATCGACTTCTTCCTCTGCCTCCGAATCCCCAAGAGAGGAGCCCGAACCGATCATTGTCCATGAAAAGAGCTACGACGACGATTTGAAAAAGTTAGTAAAAAAAACAATCCAGAACAAGAATTCAGACTGGAAGAGCGGGAAAAGCTGAAGGAAAGCCTGATGAACGAGATCGAGACGCTCGACTTGGAGGAGGTCACTGGGGAAGTGGATCGGAGGTATCGTAACTTGGCCAGATGATCAATTTCTGGACTCTAGGTGGGATGAAAAGCTCGAGCACTCGGAGCGGGAGTCGAAACGAGCTGAGGAGCAGTTCAAGGAGGTGAGCAGGTTTAGGGAAATAGGCGATTAAAAAGATAGAGGAAATGAGCACACAGATTGGAAGTGTACGGAGGAGCGTCACGTAGTATCTTTCGAAAACGCGAAGCTCCCCCGCACAATTCTATTGCATTTTGCAGTTTCACGTGATTTTAAGTCGTAGTTTGCTAGAAACCGGAAGCTTTAAAAAAAGCGATTAACCGATTTTTTTTTCTCTAGGTAATCCCGCAACTCTCCGCGCGCTCCGGCTCCGAGACGGACGTCGAGTCGGAATCTGAAGAAGAGGTGATGGTCGACAAGCACAGCAGCCCATCACCGCCAAAAATCCACCCCGGCAGCCATATGTACTCGAAGATGAGCGAGAGCGAGGATGAGGAGAGCGACGAGGAGGAGGAGCCGGTGAGTTTTAACGTCAGAAACCGAAAAAAGAAAAACACTTGTAAACAGAAACTCCCACCAAACGTTTATTTTACGTCCAAAAAACGAGTTATAGCGAGAAATCCTGGTTCCACCGCCGCGAAAACAGCACCTCGAAAAGCGGCCCGAGTCCCGCGAAGACAATCAACCCAACCAGAACGGAAACATCAGGTAAAACTTGTAGAATTTGCTGAAAAAACTCATTCAGAGACGAGTCGCACCATGCCAGATTCTATTAAAAAGTTGGTTAGGGTAAAGATGATCGCATAGGAAAGGAAAATAGCTTCGCCGCTAATAACCTATTTCTCGGCTCAAAACCAACATTGTTGCTTCTATTATATAGCTCATATTATTATATTCTAACGAAACTTTAAAGTAAACCCCTAAAATCGAGCACCCACACGCGACGACGCGCTTCACTGCACAAACAAAGACTATGCGCGCTTTGCAAAATCTTGCTTTTCTCCTCTTTACATTGCGTAATGGATTGGCTTTGCTATACATCAAAAACTAAACGGAAGCACAATATCAACAATTGCTTTCAGACCCGATAGCAGCTCGGAGAAAGAGAACGCCACCATCACCGAGGAGCACGTCACCCGCGTCTCCGTCAAGAGCAATGGCCATAGTACTGTAGTGGACTCGATCGGGGGCCACGATGCAGTTCGAGTGGCTCTTGGATCAGAGACCCAAGTCACGGATGACGAGTTCTCCGAGAAGCTCATCTAATAATCATTTTAATGCGGATTCTAAAGGCGATTGACAGCCAAAAAAGCTTTAGAACTAAACATTGTAAACAGCACACATAGTCAAACTGTGCGGAGAAGCCTCGCGTCGCTGTAGTTCAGCAACGTATGAGCCTCCGGTACGTTTACGTTTGGTGTTCGGATTGCTTCCCATTTTTTGGCTGTCATTCCCCATTTAATCTACTTTTTTTACAAGTTTGCCCATTCGATCAGTTTGTCGATTCTAGTCTCCCAACTTCAGTTGTCGTACAAAAACCCCCAATGCTTTAGCGGTACGTGGAAGGAGACCAACTAAAATTCTATACTTTACATTTAAGCCATTCTCTCACTTTTTTGCATATCCCTGACCCAATCGCTTCGCCATTCCATCGCCAAAGTTCCAAAAAAAACCCATGACGATAGGTGTTTTTCACGTCTTCCGTTTTTATGCTCAAAAACACCTATCGGTCACACCACGCCCTCATCCACGATCAAAAATCGTTTACTTACCTTTAAAAAGCATAATATTTAGATTATTTTTGAGATTTTTGTGTTTTAAAAACCCCCAATCCCCGATACTTACGGTCAGCCATCCCATAGATCAGTTGCTCAACCGTCTCCACCCAGATTTTCTGACATTCTTCAGCTTGGCCGAATTTAATAAGTTATTTTTTGGCCTTCATATATTTTTTAAATACACGCGGTTTGTAAAACTAAAAATAAATGCTGTAACTACTCGTCCCTCAGAAAATGCACGATAAAATGGAACTAGGAAAAACCGCTAAAGACGGCATTTGAATTGGAAATTTGAAAGCAGCCTTAACTTTTTTTGAAAATCGAACAGAGACTTTCAAAATACGGATTTAGTAGAGGAAAACGCTTTTCTCCATGTGGCATGCCATCAAGTGAGTTTTTCTAGGTGTTATGCTACCAAATTTTGGATTTAAATGGCGAGTTATTCAGATCGTGACCGGTTCGTGAAGGCGTTCAGCGGCTTCAACGCCGTCAAGGACCCCAATCGAATGGAGATGCCCAAGGAATTTGTGCGCGAGCTCTGCCTACGGGCCCGGGAACAAGTAGCGGCTTTTTTGGATTGGCATCAACTTGGGGATGTCCAGCTATTACGCGAACCGGCCATGCTCGAGCTTCAACCACCGGTCATCATCGTCGGCGACCTGCACGGCGTCTTCCGCGACGTGCTCATGATTTTTGATCAAAACGGGTACCCGCACGTCGACGGAAAGTAGGCTTTAGCAGATTATGAATGCTTTGGCCCTTGTTTTTATAGATTTTCCATTAAATTTTCAGGCAATACCTCTTCCTCGGGGACTACGTCGATCGAGGCCCCTACTCGATCGCAACTATCGTCTACTTGCTCACCTACAAGCTTCTATACCCGGACAAGGTACGAATTCAAGTTTTCTGGATGTTTTCTATGTTTTAGATTCATCTGTTGCGCGGAAATCACGAGGCGCGCTACATCAATGTGTAAGCTTCAAAAAATTCGGTGTCTTGACCCCACTTTTTAGACAATACGGCTTCTACGCGGAGTGCATCCAAAAATACGGCATGGGCGACGGGACGGCCGTCTGGGAGCTGTTCAATGTAATGTTTTAGACAACGCCACGCTGTTTCTAAGTAATTTTAGGTTTTTAGTGGTGTCACAAACTTCTTAAACGGCCGAGCTCTTTTCAGACAGTCTTCAACTGTCTACCACTCTGTGCCCGCATCCAAAAACGAATCTTCTGCATGCACGGTGGAATCTCACAGGTTTTTCACTATATTTCAGCAGTAAAGGCCATTTTCAGCATCAAACCGCCTGGGAGCAGTTCTCGAAGATCCATCGGCCATGCTTGATCCCGGATTTTGGGATTTTGTGCGATTTGCTGTGGGCCGATCCGCATCCCGGGGTTCGGAAATGATGAAGTAAATAACTATTGGCTCTATTCCTAGGTTGTTGGCTTCAAACATTCCCCCCGCGGCGTCTCTTTCGTTTTCGGCGAACATGTGGTGACCGAATTCTGCCGAAAATTCGACCTTGATCTGATCGTCAGGGCCCATCAGGTAAAACGGGTGACCGAACGTTGATATTTTCGGCTTTAGGTCGTCTTGGATGGGTACGAATTCTTCGCATCACGCCGGTAAGCCAAAAAAATAGGTAGCAAAAACGGAAGTGTTTCCCTTTAGCATGGTCACAATCTTCTCGGCATCCAACTACTGCGGAACGTTCGATAACGCCGGTGCTGTGCTGCTTGTATCCGACGACCTCAAGTGCAGGCATGGAAGCAGAATAAAATAGAACCAGAAAAAATTTAGCTTTGCCGTTCGACGTCCCGAAGGCCACCGCACGTATGGTGTGGAAACAAGTGGGCTTACCGATCAAATGAATGAACTAAACTAATTCAGAATCCACGCTACAAGAAATCCAAAGCCTACACGCGGAACGGAGCAAGGAGGGCAAGCTGAAGCTCAAAAAGTTTTTAGAGTAGGTCTAACTTCGAAAACGCCATCATAATTTGTTTTTTAGAAAAGGCGAGGAACGAATGCCGCCAGTGTCCGCGTCCGAACAGCCCGCCGCCGACAAGAAGACCCCGAAAAGCCAACGAGTCACGGAAGAAAAAAGCAATTAATCAAACTCCCCCGTTTTATTTATTAAGCAGCTTTGTGGTTGAAAAGAATGATTCTTAATGGAATAAAGTGTTTTGCGCCGGATATTCCATCAAGCACAGACAAATGCCATTTGGTCGCAGCAACCATTCCTAGCCGTTTCTCGCTGGTATTCCCAGGCTTGAAGGGTCAAAAAGCCGCGCACATTGTAGTTTCACCGGTTTGTTGTTTGCTGCGGCTCTGCAGGGCACTATCGCTGCACACTGCCGAAAAGGTGACAAATCGTGGACGATCCAGGCCGAAAAGCCCCAGAGAGGCAACCCCCAAAGTCGATAGCGCGCGATTTCCCAGCCCCCAATCGCAAAGCAAAACAAAGAATTGACTAGCACTTTCCTACTTCGAGCCCTCGTACACAAAAGGCACAAAGTAGATTTATTCTAGTTGCGGCTCTAATCATATAAGGTGGCGATCCAAATGTTTAGAAGGGGCTGAACTTGTTTCCTGCTCAAATTTAGATGTACGGCACCTCCTATTGCTTTATTTTCTGTTTTCCTTGCTGGCCCTTGCTTGCTTTCCCCTTTTTTTCTAAATGGGACCTTGTCTTCTTTTTCAATGAGCTTTTTCCAGATGTCATTAGCCGGTCAGATCGCCCTCGTCACTGGAGCTTCAAGAGGCATTGGACGCGGTATCGCCTTGCAGCTCGGACAGGTTAGCCGTTGTAAAGAATTTCTGAACATCTTGTTTTTTTTTTCAGGCTGGTGCCACCGTCTACGTAACGGGCCGTCAGCCGAAGAACAGCGACGCGACGAAGCACGACAAATATGAACTCCCCTCCTTGGAGAAGACCGCACGGGGTTAGTCTTGAACTTGTTTGTTGTGGAATTGGACTGGATTTTCAATTGTTTTTTTTGCAGAAATCAACGAGCGCGGTGGAAAGGGAATCGCGGTTTACTGTGACCACGGCGATATGGAGAACGTGAAGGTATACAAAATGTTTATTTTTGTTAAATTTTTTCTAGCAACTGTTCGAGCAAATCGATAAGGAAAATGCGGGCCAATTGGACATTCTCGTCAACAATGCATATTCGGCCGTCACGGCGATTTTCGATGGCACCGGCCAGAAGTTCTATGAGCAGGCGCCGGAAGTTTGGGATGAGGTTGGTGCTTCCCAAAAAGGATAACGTATGAATTAATCTATTTAGGTCAACAACGTCGGCCTACGGAATCACTACTACTGCACTGTTTATGCGGCCAGGATGATGGTTAAACGTGATAAAGGGCTCATCGTCAATATCAGCTCGCCGGGAGGATTGCGGTAAATTTATATTTTTTTGTCTGCTTTTTGCCCTTTTCGTCGATATATTAAACACTATGTACATTCTTCCAGCTACCTCTTCAACATTCCATACGGCGTTGGCAAAGAAGCCCTTGATCGCATGTCGGCCGATACGGCGAAGGAGCTGAAGGCTAAAAAGGTAACCAAAATATGCTTCATCCAATGATGAATTGTAGGTGACCGTGGTCAGTCTATGGCCCGGAGCCGTCAAAACGGAATTGGTCACCGGCATGCAGAAGGAGGACACGAGTGGACGAAATGCGCAGGTGCACAAGCCTCATCGTGCTCATTAGAACATTTCTGTTAGGTAGCGAAGATGTTCGCCGAAGGTGAGACGATCGAGTACCCGGGACTAGCCGTCGTCCACCTTGCCAACGATCCGCATCGGCTCAACCTCACCGGCTTCACCCTAGTGACGGCTGATCTCGGCGACCGATATGGATTTGTGGATATTGATGGTAGCAAAACTCTCGTGAATTGTGCTTACTTTTACAATTACAGGTCGCCGCCCGCCAAATCTTCGCTCTGTCTCCCGGCTACTTTCATATGGCGGCTTCACGAATCTCTCCGGCTGGGTCCCCGACTGGGTCCGACTCCCCGGATGGTATATGTGGGCGGCGAATTCGAGGTTGTGATCTGTGTTTTGGGCATGATACTGTGCATATAAATTTTTTTACCTCTCGACCCGAGTTTTCGGTGCACATAAATTTTACTTTTTCGGAATTGACGCGGCACACATAACAATGTTTGTCATTTCCCCAAAAACCGATGTTTTGAAACCAAAACAGAAGCGGTAATGTCTATTTGTTCGGTTGGCTTTCTTATCTCCCCAAATTCGCCTGGTAGGCCTATTACCGTCACAGCAGGGGGCTTTTTGCCGCTGGTGTTTGTTGAAACCGTTTCGCTGAAATGTATTTTGGGACTGGTAAAAAATCAAAAACATTCGAATACCAAATGAAATTGAAACAAACAAAATTACAAAACAAATTACCTACGCACATGCACGAATAACTGGGATAGGCAAGGCTATCTAGGCCTTTTCAGGAAAATTTGTACGCCTTACAACTAGGAACGCAATGGCTTCATCGCCACCAAGCGCGCTTCGGAGCCTGAAGTCTCGTAATATTTTTATGGGATACAGTCAAGTTAAACCAAAAGCATTCGTCATTCGTCACCCCAGGATGCTGCCAATTTGTCGTGGACACCTTATCAATTGCGCCACCGATATGATAAAAACTGGGATGTATGGACCACGCCTTGGGGGGGTCACGCTTCCGCGGGGCTTCCACGATTTATTATCGCCCGCCCGGCCATGTGCGCCCGTGCCCGCTGGCGCATTTTAAATACCAATTTTAAACCCATGCTCAATTTTTCAGGAAGCTATGTGGTTAGCAATATCATTGCTCGGATGCGTGGCTTTTGGCGCCGGCGTCGAGGCACAGATGCAGTGCAAAGATATGAACAACAACAATGTGGAATGGTAACGACTATTTTCTAGAGGACTATGCTTTATGAAATTTAAGGTACGTCTTCTACAAGCTGCCGAAAATCGCCAAGTCCAACAACCCACTCATCGCAAATGGCACCGGAATGTTGTACATGGACAAGAATACGAGAACCTGGGTAAAAATTGAACTATTTTTGTAAAAAATGCCTTTTAGACCTACAATGCTACGATCAGCATCATGGACGCTAATCAGGCCGTCGCGTACACGCTGCAACAATATTACGATCAGCGTGATAACCCGTTGGTCAGTGTCGAGAATTCTCCATATAAATGTCAAATTTAAACCAAAAGAAAATCGTACCGAGTTTTTAGATGCTATCCATTTTCTACAACGACGAGAAGCCCGATAATACCACTTCTTTCGATCTGGGTCATCAGAAAGGTGCGAAAAATACCATGGCTCATTTCAACCCCCCTAACTTGCCGGACTTCTTTCCTTTTTAGGTGTTACCGCCTTTGACATGTTCTCCGGTTTCTGGCTCATCCATTCCGCGCCGAAATTCCCGCCCGCTGACCACTACTTCTACCCGCCGAACGCGCATAGCTTTGGCCAAATGGGCATCTGCATTTCGCTGGCCACACACAACATCCAAAACGTTGGTAAGCGCAAAAATTAGTCTAGTTTCTGGAGTAAATCTACGAAAAAGTTTACGTAATATAAACCAATTTTCAAGCCGACCAGCTCTACTACACCCAACCCTTCATCTACCAATTTGATCTACCGGCCCAATTTGCGAACCTCTACCCCCGGTTGGCAGATGTGAAGAAGGTAAGCGTGCTCGTCCCGTTCTAATTCAGACTTCTAGGGCCTCTATCCAAAAGCGGCTCCATTCTCAAGTATAAAACCGTTTACGGCGCTCGGCGGGACCCAGTTCACACACTTTGCCAAAGCAAAAGGATTCGCTAATGGTAATTACTAAGAGTTAAAAATTTATTCAAAATTGTAAGAAAAATTTAGTCATATGCTTTTAGATCTTTATGGGGCCTTAATTGCACCGACAATCAACACCGATCTCTACGTCGAATCGTGGCAACATCAGCCCGGAAACCTCGGCCCATGGTGTAACTATACACAAAAGGTTGGAGACAAAAAATCCCTAATAAAAATTACTAAAAATTTTCAGGTGCTGGATATCACCTGGGTGAATTTGCCGTTCAATTTCACCTTTGAGACCTGGTGGGTGAACGATCTGATAAAACATTAGCTAAAAAATTCGAATATTTTAGGTGGGATCATTCTAAATACGCCATCGCTACAAACCAGGGCCCCTCAAACGTTACCCCACCACCACTGGTTTGCATTGGTGATATCAATCGGCAGGTGAGTGTTTATACAAAAAACACTAGAAAATAAATTAAAACTAGGTTTAATCAACCCCTAACTATAACTATAGATAAATCAGCTCAATATTAGGAACACCAAATGGTTCGCGGCGGCGGCTCAATGTGCCTGAACGACGCTCAGCTCTATGCGGCGTTCCGCTCAATCCCCTCAACGTCCGACAAATGCGCCTTGGGAATGAAGGACGATAAGGACGAGATGCTCGACACAAATCGTATCCCGCTTTGAAGCGTTTGATTGATGTTCCGTTGTGATCGTTGTCTTGTAAATAAAGCTGTACATTCCTAAAATCTTGTGAAGCTCTAAAAGCACAAAAGCCGCGTTCGACCAGCCCAACAACGCTGCAACTTGACGGCTGAATTCAAGGCTTTAGGCACAGAATCGGCTTCATGAAGCTTCTGCCTTCACAAACGTAATCTGGTGTGGAACGGAACGTAACCCTTTGCTGTTCGCCACACTCACCCCATTGTGTGTCTCAGCGACCGTAACCTCCCCTCTTTGGCATCCTTCCAAACGCAATTTCCTGTCGTCACCAGTTTAGAAAATTGATTCTTTGAAAAGTACTCCTTTTCTTAGACTTTGCTCGAAAATATAAACTTTCACCAAAAAAAACTTTTCCAGATAAAATGTCGGAACCAGCGCAGAAACCGGCGCCCACAAAGAAGAAGGCGAAAAAGAAACCAGTGAAAGGAGGTACCAAATAAATGGATTTTATAAATGGGAAATTCAGTTAACATCGAGGCCCAGCGTCGGATGACGTTCCTACATGAAGCTGCCGGCCATATTTCCATTCAAGGTAGTCTCCGATCGATGGCAGAATCGTTTGTTCCAGGAACCTCGTCAAACGACGCATACGCAAAATTGAGCAGGAAATACGGCAAGCTGCTGCGACAAGTGAAACAACACGGCACGTATCAGGTGAGACATTTTGATGCAATGACAAATACTAGTTTTAGTTGCCGAAAGGCTACAATCGGGCGTACTGTCGTAAATGCTGGGAAGTGTTTGCCGGCAAGGAAAAGTTTGGGCTAAACGAAAACGCCGGCTGCCTCGTTCGTACCTGTGGAAATTGCCAGGCGACCCGTCGGTATCAGAAGAGTGAAAAGCATCAAACGAGAAACGACGAGGAATTTAAAGGCTCTATTCTGGCTACCTACCAGACGACGAACGCCGGCTCAACGAACTCAAATAAAGCATGACAGCTGTGCCCCAACTATTTTTGGGTCGTGCTCCAGCTCCTTGTTGCAATTACGGGTGATTTGAAGTTTGAAAAAGTCCGGTATTCCACGTTGTTGACGGCTGTGATTTCAAAATTTCTCGTAGTTACTGGCTGTAATAAAGCAAATTTGCAATAATCTTTGATTCTGTACCTGGTTGTTTTCCGCTAGTCTCTTTGTTCCGGGGCTGAAGTGCGAATTTCTATTTTTTTCAGAGCCAATATGGGAGATGAGGCTCAAAGCTTGGTCGATCAAACCGAGGGTCTCACTTTACAAGGTGATAAAATCAAGCGGAAAAAAATGCTCTTTCAGACACTGATCCCTACATTCGGACGGATGGTGTGGCGGCAATCAAGAAGGAGTTTTTGTTAGATGAAGTAAGATCTTTCTGAGATTGACAAATAGATTTTAGCCGCACGCTGAGGAGCCGGTGGAGAACGTGAAGAAGGAGAAAAAGGAGAAGAAGGCAAAGGGGATGAACAAGGTGAGAAAATTGTTATTGGAATAATATAAAAAAATATTTAGGATCGTCTGAAAGAAATGGCCCGGATGACGACAAACGTGAGAGCAGCCAGCGCTCGGCTTTGTCCAAGCGTCTATATGCCGAATGTCAAGTGCAAGTGAGTTTTCCTTTCCTTTCTTTTTTTAATACAGCAATCAATCAATAAAACGAGCGAATTTTAGGCATGGTGAGAAATGCACGAGCGAGCACGACATCGGCACGTTTCTGGCGAGAAAAGAAGCCGATTTGGGTGACGTCTGCCCGGTGTACGAGCAACGCGGCCATTGTCCATTCAGCTATGCATGCCGGTAAGTCAGCTTAGCAGCTTCCAAAGACTTAATTTAGTTACGGCAACGCTCACCTTACCGAAGATGGGAAGCAAGCCCAAAAAGAGCCAGCCAAGCCGTACGTGGAAACTAGGAACGCAAAGAACATGCACATCCAGATGGCAATGCGCAAGCGGAAGTACGATTTTAGTCGGAGTATTCAGGTATTACAAGACTAGGATTTCGTTTGAATTTAATATTTGTAGTTCCTCGAGACGTTGCCGGATTGCTACCACAAGCGGAAGGGGGCTCGCGCTTCCGCGCCCAAAGCTAAGGACTTTGTGGCGAATGACTCAGAAAGTAAGCTATTTTTGTTCGGGCGTATTTTAGCATTTTCCTTCAGATAAACCTGTTGCCCCAGCTGAAGAGGATGAGCAAGATGTTGCCGATCAAGAGCCAGAACAGAAGGTGTGAAAGTTTTAGCGGCAATTCACGTATTTAGGTCGGGTCGATGGAACGCGAGAAGCGCCGCATCACGATGAAGGAATTGGCCGGCAAGAAATATGTGGCACCTTTGACCACCGTGGTAAGAGCATTCGGCTAGATTCACGCTTCTTTCCCAGGGTAATCTCCCGTTTCGCCGCATCTGCGTCGACCTGGGGGCTGATGTGACGTGCAGCGAGATGGCGTTGGCAACTAGTATTTTAGGAGGTACACTATCTGATTAATCGGGTGACACTAAACCTCTTAGGCGTTCCGTCTGAATTCTCTCTGGTGAAGCGTCACGCTTCCGAGAAGATCTTTGGCGTGCAGCTGGCCGGGGGCTTTGCCGACACCATGGCGATGACCGCCCAGATCATCGTCGATGAATTTGATGTAGGAGGAAAATTTAGTATTATTTAACTTTCTTTTTAGGTCGATTTCATCGATATCAACATGGGCTGCCCGATCGACGTGGTCAACCAGAAGGGCGGCGGGTGCTCGTTGCCCACGCGGCCTACCAAGCTCTATGACGTGATGCGCGGGATGCGCAGCGTGATGAAGGACGTGCCGCTGACGATTAAGGTAATGATTGGAGATCAAACGTTACGCTCTTTTAGCTACGCACCGGGATGAAAGAAGGCGTATTGACGGCAGACGAGACCCTAGCTGGATTAATCGCAGCTGGCTGTACCCCAGACTTGGTCACCTTCCACCCGAGAAGCAAGTGAGGAATCTTGAAAAGCTCCTAAAATTAGTGTTTCAGAGAACAGCGCTATTCCAAGCTGGCCAAGTGGGAGTTTGTCGAGCCGTGCGTCAAGGCGGTGCCCGATGTTCCGTTTTGGGTTTGCGGCGACGTGCTCAGCTGGGAGGACTATTATCAGGTTTTCGGTGTCAAAACTCTGACAATTCATTAAATTTCAGCGCCTCGAGAACAATCCGATTGACGGGGTGATGATTGGGCGCGGGATTCTGATCAAGCCGTGGCTGTTGACGGAAATTGACGAGCGTCGACATTGGGACATTACCGCTACCGAACGACTGGACATAATTAAGAAGTAAGTTGATCGAATTGGCTCGACCTATTTTTTTAGCTTTGTCTGGTACGGGCTCGACCATTGGGGCAGCGACTCGGCGGGCGTCGAGAAGACGCGACGTTTTCTGTTGGAGTGGTTGTCCTTTGCTTGCAGGTGAGATTTTCGATTTATTTTTGAAGATGGAAGCCTTGAATTTCAGGTATATCCCAGTGGGCCTATTAGAGCATCCGCCACAGCATATCAACCAACGGCCTCCATATTACAAGGTATAGAACCCATTTTGTTGGACTACAACTGTTTCAGGGTCGCAACGAGCTGGAGACGCTCCTCTCATCGCCAAGGGCTTCCGACTGGGTGGCGATCACGGAAATGTTCCTCGGCCCATGCCCCGAAGGCTTCGACTTCATCCCAAAGCACAAAGCCAGTGCTTACTAGGTAATGCGTGTTTTTCGTGCTCTCTCTCCCTCTCACTCTGTCTCCCCATCCAGGGTGCTTTATTGCAAGAATGGCGCTAGGTATCGTCGACATACACGAATTGTAATGGACTGTAAACATCATATTTGGGTCTAAATTTAAGTCGCAGGCTTTTTGTTGTGTGTGGCTAGTAGGTCTCGTAGGCGTTGCGACCCTGGGGCGGCTCCTCGTTGGGGGCGAACACCTTCAAAATTTCCTCGAATTCGGGGCGCTCGTCGGGGTTCTGTAGTTGGTGGTTGGCGGATTTAAGTGGATTTGAGTTTACCTTGTTCCAGCACCAGTAAAGCACTTTGCACCCCGTCTGCGGGCAATCGGGAGGCGGCTGGAGCGGGATCGGCTCTTGGCTGACGATCTGTAGGTGGCAGGGCTCTTTATTTTATCCGGGAGATCCGATTTTTCCCTTCCCATTTTGGGTTTCTAATCTGTCTTTTCCTATTCTTTAACGTAAAAACTTGACAAATTCTAACAAAAACACAAGAGGCCCACATTATGCATTTTTCGTCAATTACCTTGTCCTTGGCCTGCATGTTCGTCAAGTTCGGGAACGGCTCCAGGGTGCACCGGTGGAAGATCTCCCACATCATCATCGCATAGCTCCACACGTCACTCTTCTTCGTGTATTTGCCCTAGATACACGGGATTTGGCAATTTGAGCACTGCGCCAACCGCGGACAGCATTTCCGGCGCGCACCACTTGATCGGTATCTTCTTCATCTTCTCCATCTTGATCTCGCCGCGGTCCATCTCCGATTTGCCAAAATCGGCAATCTTCAGCTCGAGCTCTTTCCCAAGCAGGCAATTCCGGGCGGCCAGGTCGCGATGTAACACCTAAAAAAGTTGCCGCGTAAAAAGTAGCTTTTTTCCTTGAATTGCTGTTTTTGTTGAATTTTTAACCCACGTTTTGCTTGTGCAAATACGTCATCCCGCGCGAGCCGTCGGTGGCCCAGCTGATTAGCTGCTCGATGGCGACTTGGGGATGTTTGTGGCAGTACCCTTGCAGGGATCCGCCCTCGGCCAGCTCGATGACGAGCAGCACGGGCATCTCCTGCACGGCCACCCCGTAGAAGCCGACAATGTTGCGGTGGTTCAGGTGACGGCCGACGTGTGCTTCCTGTTTTGATTGTTATCTCCAGAATTCAGTAATTGTCTGTACCTTCAAAAACTCGATAATCTCCCGCTTCGTCACGTCGCCCTTGCACATCTTGATGGCGCACGGCTTCTCGGTGTTGCCCTCCTCGCGCATCATCCCCTTGTACACCTCGCCAAAGTTGCCCTCGCCAATCTTGTCGGTCATCGTCACGTTCTCGTGCATGATGTAGTAGCTGGGGCGTTTGATTTTCTTCAAGGTACCCATTGGCATGCGCTTTTTCTGGGTGTCTCGATTACCTTTTTGAGGATGGCGCCCGAGGGCAAGACATTCTCATTGACTTCCAGGTAGTTGATCAGCTCGCCAATCGTCTTCTTCCCCACTTCATTTATATGCCAAGTACCGCCGTCCTGAATTTACCCACGTCGCGAAAGTGGTTGTTTGACCCAACCTTCTTGACTATCGGGATGTGCCGGATCTGCTCGTCGTGCATGACGGAGACGACAAACTGATCCTTGCCCTTCTTCTCGTCACGCGTCGACCGTACCAAGTAGTCGCCCTCGGCCTGCAGCAGCTGCTCACACTCGGCCCCCGGTAGCACGCCGTGGTAGAACGGCATCGAGCGCACCAGGATTTTGCTCATCCGCTGAAAACACAACTAGAGAAATGCTTAAATGACCCACATTGTGTAAATTGCGCTCATCGACGGAGCTGTGCTTCGAGGGGACGGGCTGCAGCTGGGAGACCTTGCTTTTCTCGGGACGCTAAAGCTGATTTCTGATTTGCTGCTAGTAGGCTACCTCTTTGGATCGGCCTTCCCTCGATCTGCTCTCTCTGGACTTGCAATTCCTTGATTCCTTGGTACCTTGCTAAAAATGTTGCGGACAGCTAAACGTATATTTTTTTCAGGCTTACCCGCGCCGTCGCCACGGCCAGGGACGGCTTTGCCCGTTCACACTGGCTCTTCTTCTTCGTCGGCATCTCGGACGGGCCGCTCTCGACGGCGAATACTCGATTCCCGATCCTTTTCTATTTTTATATGAGCTAATGTATGTTAAGTTCCGGAACTAGGTATGCCAATTCTGCGTTGTTGTTAATTACCAATTCTTGTTGTTGTTTGCTCGTTTTGTTAGAATGGCCTTCTTCTAGTCTATCAACCCTTGTGCATCATCGTTGTTGTTTCTATTCAAATAAATTTTATCGAAAACATGGTTTTATTGACTTCATGGGTTGCAAATGGTCCTCAAAATGCTTTATCATTTATGATTGAAATATCCTAGAAGTACCAAATGTAAGCTGAAGGCGCTGATTTTTTTTGGCAGAATCCTGACCATAAAATTTGCGACGAGCATGGGTTTAACTACTTCTTCTATAAGCCTCTTAAATTGGTTTTGCTTTTATTATTAATCCCATTTTTAGATGGGTGATGCCGGCGGCTCGAATGGCCGACTCCATAACGGCCAACATCCCGCCATCAACGGAACTAGCCGGGTTGGCTTTTTATATCGAGTACATAGCGCCGATAATCATGCATGATATTCCTAAACCCATTAAAAACCCTACATTTCAGCCCTCAGAACCGGACCCTCCAATGGCCCCCTTTGTCGAACATCCGGCCGACGTACGAGCTCTATCGCAGCAGGTCTTCATCTCGGACTTCGATTTTCGAGTAGGTGATTATTCTCCCTCTAGTCTCCTTCCCTTTAGAACAGGAGTTTCCGCGTCCGCACCGTCCTCATAGCTGCCCCCTTCGAGCCCACCATCACGCAGGTCCATCTGAATCTCGGCCGCTGTAGGTTCTTCTATCGTGCTCGGTATTTAGTCTTTTAGATGCCCTCCTACCAAATGAAGCCGACTTTTCCGGGGACGTGCTGGTGAACGGCGAGCCAGCTGTTTATCGTCGAGTCGACCCGCTACAGGTCGCATTGGCTAACTGACTGATTTGATACAGATGATTTTAGGATTTTCCTATACAATGCACGTCAAAAGCGCTGCCTGACCTCAACCGCGAGCTGTACAACCGTCACAACGAGTGCAAAGGCGAATTGGCGTACGATTGGTTTTCGGTTTTAGAATTTGTGGTATAGAATCGATATCCCGAGGAATTTGCTCCCAGCGGTGCAGAACTTGCGCTGTCTCAAAATATCGATAGATGTGCTGGTGAAAGCGCCGCAGCTGGTTAGTATAATATGCTGGCCTGAAGCTTCGTATAGGGCGTGAAATTCAACAGCCCCGGCACTGAGAACCCACTGGAGCGCGGTGTCCATGCTTTTACGTATCGAACGAGCGCGACGACAGGTTGGAAAATTCTTGAGTCCTAAAAAGCGTGAAAGCTATGCAACAAAGCTGACTTCTTAGGTACCCGCGAATGGCTTCCCTGCTTGGACACCCCGGACCAGACGTGCATCTGGAGCTTCGAGTTCACCTGCGACTCAACCCATACGGCCGTCATCAGTGGCGAGCTGCAGGACACGGCGCTGAGCATGGACACAATGGAGAAGACGTACAAGTATAAGCTGGTTTGATAATATTTCTGGCTTAATAACGCCCATTTTTTAGCTGATCCCAACTTCGGCTCCGAATATCGGCTGGGTCATCGGAAACTTAACGCCGTACGGGCATCCCGAGATGGCTGAGGTATTTTTAATTTCGAAGATAGCTATTTTCTGCTCAGACGACTATCTTCTCGTTGCCTGGCATGCTGCAGCTTGTGAAGCACACCACCGCTCACCTCGATCGGATCATGGAGTGCTACGAAGAGTTCCTCTCTTGCCGCTACCCCTACAATAGCTTCAAAATTGTTTTCGTCGATCAGGTTGGTCAGATTAATTTTGATCTAGTTGCCATTTTTAGACCGCAGATGAAGTTTTATCGTACGCAACGCTCTCTATCCTATCCGTGCACACGCTCTATCATCGGAAAATCATCGATGTCGTGCAGGTATGCCTTACTGTGCTTTCTTAATTCGGCGGGTCTCCAGGAGTCACGCTTCCGCTTGGCGTGCGCTGTGGCTTCCCAATTTTTCGGCTGCTTCCTGACGGCAGGCCATTGGGCTGATGCGTGGTGTGTGCAGTCGCTTGCCAGGTGCGCCGCCAGCGAGGACCTAAATTAATCCGTTGTAGATTCTTGGCCTTCCTGTACATCGAAAAAGTTTTTGGTCATTCCGAAGCCGCCTACCACACGAAGATGATGTTCAACGAGGTGACCGCGTACGAGTATCAGTGGGGACAGGTTGGTTTTGGCAAAAAAATATTATCATCTTTTTGTTTAGATCATCCTAAGGCCGGATCTGCGTGCGGGACCCCGCTACGATTTCCACCAAGACCCAAGGCATCCGTATTCGGTAAGCTGTTATCCCTGATCTACAACTTTTATTTAGACAAGCGCAACATACAGCAAAATCATGGTCAAGAAAGGGATGCTGGTCCAGAGGATGCTCCGGAAACGCGTTGGCCCTGAGGCTTATATGCGGGTTTGTTTCACTTCTTTTTTGACCCTGCTAGCTTCAGATCCTAAACAACATGCTCGGCGTCGCCTCACAAATGGCACAACGACAAGACAAACCGAGCGCGTGGAGCTACCTGGTGGTGTCCACTGAGGGTTTTATTCGGACGGTAAGGGCGTCTCCGCTTCAAAACCCCCTTCCAGATCAGCAACGTCACTGGCCATGACATGCCGAATTTCTATGATCAATGGATCTTTAGTGGCGGTCACCCCCATTTCGATGTAATTTTCGTTGGTCTGCCAAGTAAGCCTTTTAGGTCCAATTCGACTTTGTTCGGCGTCGAAATGTGGTCGAGCTGAACATACGCCAGGATTCCTACAATGGCAACGGCCGCTGTCGGTACGCTTTTATCCGCGGCGCGTAAAAAAATGGGTTCAGCTACATCGGCTCGCTGGTCGTCTGGGTGCAAGAAGTGGACGGGGCATTCAAGCATACCGTTCAGATCGATTCGGACAATGTTAGACAGGTAGCGATGGGGTTGATTATCGTAAACTGGGTTTAGGACCTGTCTTGCCATTCGAAGGGACGACGCCAAAAGAAGAAGAAGATACCAATCAGCAATGGGGACGAGGTCGAGTTTGATCTCAGCAACGCCGATCCCGAATCGCCGGTTTTGTGGATACGGTGGGTAATGACGAACTAGATTAGCCTTCTTTCTCTCTCTCTCTCTGTCTCTCTCTCTCTCTCTCTCTCTCTCTCTCTAATACATTCCTATTTTCAGTGTGGATCCCGAAATGCTAATCATCCGCTCACTGACCGTCCGCCAAGTCAATTTCCAATGGGAGTACATGCTGCGCTACGAGCACGACGTTGTAGCTGAGCTTCAGGTGCGCGTGCCATTCCTAACAACATTCCTACAACTTTTTTAGGCAATTGATAGACTTGAACTATTCCCGTCAGCACAAGCGAATCAGGCACTTCTGGACACTCTGCGGAACACCGAGCTTTACTATAGGTACACCCTTCCTCTACCGTACTTATTTTACGCTTCTAGGGTCCGCTGCCGAGCCGCATTCGCGCTCGCTAAGCTGCTGAATAAAATCACGGAAGAGTGGAGCGGGGTCCCGGAATTGATTCAGGCCTTCAGGTTAGGACAACTTCTGAACCCTACTTTTCGCAATCTATCGTTTAGGAACAATTTTGGCTGCAAGTCAAACCCATCGATCCCGGTCCAGAATAATTTCGTGATGACGACGTCGACGCTGCAGCAATACTTTTTGCTACAGGTGGAGGCTACTGAAAGTTTTCTAATTTTGTCGTTTTCAGACCCTGCCCCAAGCTGCCGGAAAAATGAGGCATCACAGCAAGAAAACGCCGGTCGAGGTTAGCTGATTGAAGTTCGCATATTGTTTCGATTGCATTTTTAGATTGTGCAATTCCTGCTGACGCTGATTCGATACAACGACAATTCTGTGAATAGGTATTGTTTTTCATTTAGTCAGTTAGATTTGTCTCGTTTAGATATTCGGATGATTTCTACCGGGCTGCGCTACTTCACGCGCTTGCTTCCACTATCGAGATGCCGGGCGACCGATTCGGCGACGCGCACAAGCCAGAGGGGTTGGCAGAAGATTCGCGCCAATCGTTAGAGGTTGGAAATTGAAATGTTTTAAATCTGAAAAGCATCAATTTCTTAGGAATTCTCATACGCATTAAATTTGGACATTCTAAAGCCGAGCTATAATCACGTCGTCGGCATCGCTGCGTTGGAGGGTATCAATCGGGTAGGCCGTTGCTGTCGTTTTCAATCTTATTTTTCCAGCTACAACGCAACGGGCACATCCCATGGGACTCGACGCTTTTCTGGAAATTCGCCCAACAAGGTGTCGCATCGCCGGTAGTTTTCTATTCTTGGCGATGACGTTGATTTAGCTGCGAAAAGCCGCCATTTGGTTGTTGATCAATCGGCTGACGGGTACGCGCGAACGGACCTTGGTGCAGGATATGGATCAACTATTCGTGATGATGCTGGTACTTTTTAGACAGTGAACACTTCTCGCTGAGTTGATGCAAGAATTGCACGATTTGTAAATTGTAATTACAGGAAGACGAAGATCCATCAGTTCGGTCCTACATCGCCGCCACGCTCGTCTCTAACCCGCCGTTCAGCACCGACAATAAGTAGGGATCGTTCGCTTTTGACGTAGCGTGTTTTTTTAGCATGGACCTCTCCTTCCACCTGAACACAGCCGCGTTTGCGAATCGACTGTGGGACATGATGACAAGCCCGGCCACGGTACGGATTTTTGGGCCTCTAAAAGCTAAATATTGCGCTCTAGGAGCCCGCTGTTCGGACGCTGCTTTGCGACTTGTACTACACCTGCTATGGTGTAAATACACCACCTTCATTGAGGGCGGCCGATGTAGCCGTGATGGCTTCAGGGAAAGGTGAGCTTTACGGGGTGTCAGATCAATGATTTGCCTTTTTTTCAGCCCAAGTCCGAATCCTCGCGCCCAGCTACCGGCAATCGCCCCGCCGCGACTCGTGGAACATCATGGACGAGTGCCCGCTGTCCCCAAGCTGTGCCGTCTACGCAACGCGAAACGTCAACCTCACCGATGATCTACTACAATAATGTGTACCTTTTTTGATGATCTCATCTCGTCTGTTTTACCCTTTTCGCTTCCATATCCATTGCACGGTACATTTGCTTGAACCCCCCGTTAACCATTAATTTATTGTAGCAGCCGATTCCGAATTAATTTATTTGGGTCCCGTTTGTTGACCTTGTTCATCTTTTTGTTACGAAAATATTTCGGGTCGAATAAACTGGTATGGAAATTGAAGTGGTGGGTTCTTTCCAGCTGGTTATGGCCAAAAAGCTATCTGAAAATGTGGTGTATGTGTTTTATGACGAATCTATGCATTAAAGGGAACGTACCAGCAACCGCTGTTTTCCAGCAATGAGCTCATCTCCATCTACGGAGAGCGGTGATGAGATGGTGGAAAGCGGCCCAGAAGCCCTGGATGAGGCCGAACCCGGGCCCAGCACGGTATGGCCTTTACCGGAGAGTGTGAACAAAAATCTTTAGGAAAATGTGGAGCTTTCAACCTACGTGGTCGACGATCTGGAACAGAAGATTCGCGAGAGCTTTAGGCCGCGAAAGTCGGATGGCGGAGAAACGGTGCCCGACCCAAAGGTAGCTAAATGGTCATAATTCCGTACTCCACTTTTTAGCTTCTCGTCGAACTGGAGCAAAATGCGAAGGCAGTCGCAGCAAACTTCGATGTGCTTTTACGTGATTTACGGTAATTCCTTTCGTCCAAAGCGTCAATTTTTCCTAGGGGCCGCCTCCACGGGATGTCGGATGTGACTTTGGAAAGTGCACAATGTTTTCGCGATTCCATATCGAGCTCATGTGAGGTAGCCGATGCCAACATTCGAGCCACATATGCGGTAATACATTTGGTCCTTAAGCCAATTTCTGTTCTAGATGATCGCGAAAAGCGAAGAGGTCAGCGAATCACTGCGTGGGGCCCAGAAACTCGCGACCCAAATGTGAGTGCTATTTACGCCAAGCTCATATTGTTTGTTCAGAAAAGAAATGCGGCGGATGGTGGAGACGTTCGAGAAGCTATTCCAGGGATCGCTATGACACGAATCTCACTTTTCTACATATGCTTTTCGCTCACTAACATTCCGATAAATGATATACCTAAGATTGTTCGATGCTGAGAAAGAGGATTCGCACGCCAAGTTTTTTTATTCAATTGGAACTGTTTCCTGCATAATTGGACTTTAGGTGATGAGTTACTTGAGGCGATTTTTCGGTTCGCCTCATCGTCGCCGAAGATTCACGATCTTTATAGTAACCCATTGCGGCAAATCGAGAAACCTTACCTTTTAGGTCTTTGTACTGAACGCAATATTCCTGTGGTGCGGTGGACTCGACTATTTCCTGTCGAGGCCCTTATCTCAGTTTAGCTGGCCGCCACACGGTCTCGGGCACAATGCATTAAGTGGAGAGGTATGCTTGTACATTATCCTAATACGGTGTCTTTAGTATTACGAAGAGTCCCCGTCTTTGGAGGAAATCACGAAAGCTACTGGTGTCGGCTTAGCCAAGGGAGTACCGCAAGCCATCTGTAATTCTGTAAGATATTGCTAAATTTTTTCAATACGCTTTTTTTACAGAGTGACCATTCCGGATTGCGGATACATGTCAAGTCGAAATACGACGAATATGAGGTATGATCGTATTTCGATTTGCCAATCTCGTTCAGGCCCGAGCAGCCATCCGGAAAACGTGGGGTGCAGATGCGAAGCGTGCTGGGGCTGAAGTCTTTTTCGTTGTCGGATTGCCTCTTCCAGAGGATGTAAGCGCTAGCTGAATCTTAAACCTCCAGATCCAGACGTTCGAGTGGAAGAGCCCTCTGCACATGGACGATGCAGAAACGGTCTCACACGTTATCCGGCTCCACAGAGAAGCTGATCAACAGAAGGATTTGGTGATTGGAAACTTTGTGGACGCTTATCGGAATAACACTAGGAAGGTCCGTTTGTCGGTAGGAAAGATTAATTGAATGATTTTTCCAGTTTGTACTGAGCGTCGCCGGGGCTGCAGGGATACTACCAGGCTGTCCGCCTTCAGAATTTTCGCTTTTTATTGATGCCGACTATGTCGTAAATGTAGGCTTGTCCACCTTTAAAAAAAACCTGTTCAGGTGGCCCGTCTGCTTTCGCAAATCCGGGATGCCGAGCTGGAGGTGGATTTGTACAAGGGCTGGAGATTCGACAGTTCCCCATTTCGGATGACGTTATCTAAGCATGCTGTATGTATCTTGCTCGGTTCCTTATTTCCTATCCTAGGTATCCTACGCCCAATACCCGTTTGATCGTTATCCGCCATATATCACCGCCGGTGCCGTGCTGCTGTCGAGGGAAACCGTGGAAAAATTTATTCACGCAATTCCGCAAGCTGAGGTGGGGTTGCACTTTGATGGTCCGCGAACCTTTATTTACAGCTATATTTGATGGACGATATCTATGCGGGCATTCTGGCGTATCTGACCGGCGTGCAGCCCGTCCACGATGAGAGGTAGGGGCTTTGCCAGCTGCATCGTCATTTTAACCTTCAGTTACAAGTTTTGGACGGCAGCACACTCAGGAGATGAATGGCTGCAACTTACCGCTGCACACGGATATCCCCCTCAAGAGCTTCTCGAGACGTACAACCGATATTTTAAGCGGGTTTAGAGCCTAGTCTCTGGCAGATAGGTTTTTCCTGGGATTTGGAATCCCTGTTGCGGGTTGTTCTTACGAGTATAACTGTGATTTTGCTCAGTGTTTTTGACTAGAGTGCGTTTTGCCCTGTGATTTTACTACGGTGTCTCTTAAATAGATTTATTTTTGCCAATGTGAAACGCAAAACACATACAAAGACTTTTGCTGATTATTTGTGAAGGGAGGTGCAGCTAACGTCTACCACTTTGATAAGGCTATCGTAAATGGAAAAGCATATTCGGACACCTCAAAAACATACAGTTACAAATTACGCGCGGCGGGAGCAAGAGTGAGTTTATCGATTGCTTATGCTGCGGAGATTGCCAATTTCAGGATAGAAAAAGCTTAGGTGCGGAAGAACTAAGCAAAACATTAGACAAACGCCCAATTTGGGCGGATCCAGGAGCAAATTGCATAAAGTGGGCTACTAATTTTCTGATGAACGCCGGGGAAGTGGGCTTTTTCACAGAGCGTTTCCCGTGAGGAAGACAGTTTTGGACGGCGGGGGCGAGAAGAAAGAAATGGTAATACGGTAATACTTTATTGGCTAAACGAAAAGTGGAGTGAATCAGGGGTGCGGTGCCGCAGAAATGCGCGGACAGGTCGAGTATTATGTCAAGAGGGCTATTATGGATTGCCAGATAAACTGGATAAATCAATGTTGGGGGTACACGAGTTGGGGACCGGGTTTAATCAGGTTGATGTCGTCGCGAACGGCGAGTAAATTCGGGAACGGATAAGCGAACACATCAACAACAAATGGGGGCCGAGAGAGAGAAAAAGCTAGGGCAGGCAATGCACTTGAGGAGAATTATGTGGGGCCCGATGTGCCAATTTGAAAAAGAACAAAATAAAAATCTGCTGTAGTGCTAATTTGCTAGGCGACGAGTGGCGAGATGGGAAGCTGGATTAGAAGGCGGTGACGTTGGCCTTTGACCCGGCGCGAGATGCTAAAAAATTGAATTAGCTTTATTTTGTCGCTAATTAGGACGGCGAAATTCATTTTGTCGAAATTTGCAATAACGGCATCACGCTTTTTCAGCGAGCACCCAGGTTGGTCTGGTGAATGCTCAAGAGATGCAATTCTGACATTCTGATTTTTGATATATCAAATTCGGCACTGAATTTCGACATTCTAATTTTCAACACTCGATAGCAAATCGTAAAATACGTTGCAAAGATAAAAAATTATCAAACCTCGTCGCTCCTGCTCGACCTGTAACCGGAGCTGTCGCGAGATCTCGCGCAAACGCGACGCCGACGGGCCGGCGATCGAGGGCTCCCGCCGATCGAGTCCCGACTGGAAGGCACGCACGACACGGATCTGAAGAATGTCATTAGAACAGACGATGGATACGACGGGGACGCCCGGCAACGGGATGGATTCGAACGCCGACTAGCTAGCTCCACTTTACAGAGGCACAATGTACGAATCAAAAGCGATATATTTGAGGTTGGCCTCCCGTTTCGGAGAAGCCGCCCTCTTGACAAAAAGCGTGCCACCGTGCCACGGGCAAGCCACTATAGCTAGGCCGTGGAAGAGGGAAAGAAAAACAAAAACGGATCCTATTCTCAAATCCATCCTGGCCGAACATAGAGAGAGAGATAAAAGAATGGTGGGGTAGGGGGAAAGCGCCTATTAATGTTGTAAATATAGAGAGCGTTGTCAGCGACCACACACGAGAAATTAGGCGAACCGAAAGGCCGGTTTGGGCTTGGGGGTCGAGTTGTGTCAGGAGGGTGTGTGAAGAGCAAGAGAGCGAGAGATAGAGAGAGGATTTTTGGTAGGGGTGTACATTTAGAAAGCTTTCCGAATTGGATCTATAGACAAAGATAATGGCTTTCTAAATGTACAACTCTCACCTGACGCTAGAGTGTTATTTTAGACCCTGAAAATGATGTCGCTGTACTATGTACGGGAGGATACCGTGGACAGTCAGTGTATTGTGCCGAATATTGATGTCACTATTGCTGATCCCTGTGTGAGCGCCCGAAATCCGGTTGAAGCCCGGGTGTTTCTTTTGATCGGCACCGATTATCGAAGAAAGGCCAAGCGGTGGGGGTTAGTAAGAAAGTGTGTGTTCATGGTGGGTTATTATTGGAAGAAAGATGGTGGGTGGGGAATCTCGCCGAATCGAACTGGACCCCGAAATTACATAAGCGTTTCGACCAAACGTTTCTACAGATTCGAGTAAGCCAACCTTAGCTTCAAGGCCAGGCGGGAGCATCGACTTCTAAATTATATATCAACTCTAAATACAGGCTAAAATTAACTGTGTAAAGCGCACGTTCAGAAACTTGGACGTAAACGCCTAAGAAAATCAGCGTCTCTCTTTGGCTCATTGCGCAATTACGTGTGCGTAGCAATGTCTGAACGTGCGCTCTAACAGCTTTACGGTATCTGGAAATATCGTTGTTAAACTGAAGTTTTCGAAATAGGTAATGTAAATTGATTACCCACACACAGTTATTGAATTCAAAGGCTAAAAAGACTGGAAACCGTTTGTTAGCTCCAAAAGACTTTATAAGACAACTCGTAAACCTGATCGAAAGCCCGTGTGCAACTCCGGGGTGTAATCGGAGAGAGGTGAGGATGAGTTCCGGGCCGAGGCAGACACACAAACACGCAGGCGGTTAGCGATGTGAGCGCAAATGCTTGAATCAACCTATCGTGTGACCCGATGACCGTAATTATTGGAGAAACCGCTAGCCGCTGTTTCCCCGGCAGCTCGTCGAGTGAGAGTGGGTGGATGTGGATTCTGGGTACGGGAAGCATCATTGACACCAAGGCAAGGGGTTAGAGCGGACGAGAGTGCAGGGTTTAGTATATATGTAATGCCAGCCACAGTCTTGCTGTCTCTCCACACGAACACCACACGCGTGCACGAGTCTGTCTCCCGGTGGCCAGCCCTGCCGCTAGCCGGACCCAACACCCCAGGAAGTCGGCTCGAGATTTTATCATTTTCGAAAAACACTTTTTCCTAAAGGCATATCTTCAAAGCTGCTTTTCAAAAATCAGAATTTTAGAAGCTCGAAGAGCGCTGAAAAGATGGGAGAGTGATGAGAGCGAATTCTTTTTTGCGACTTCCAAAGGTATTCGGAGCGGCCAGCGGTTAGCAGTTTCCGTGCACGGTGTCTTAGAGCGCGCACGGGGGGGTAGGGACGGGCATGGCCTAGTGGTCTAAGGCGGCGGCAGGCGCGGGGTGCTGGTTCGATTCCTCCCCTCGCCTAAAGACGCGACACCGTTTTGCTTTTTTTGCAAAACGTTTCTGCAAAGCACCGTCAATAAATCTTTAGCGAATTCCACGTAGAAAATTGGGCAGATGGGACGGTCCCGAGGCCGTAACCAGAAAAACTCTTGATGTTTGCTTCAAAACGTTTCAAGTCCTTATTTTTCCCGGCGATCGCCCAAATTCTTTGACCAAAATGTTCCCTAGAGTCTTCTCTATCGATCGCCAGGTGGAACATTTGTAACTCTTTCTCGAAAAAAAGTTATAGCCATTAGAAAGCTTTTTCTCATACATTTTGGGGGCCAAAAAGGGGCGTGGCCTAGCCCAGTCCCTCCCCGTCCCCTCGTGCGCGCTCCAAGTAAGGCCTAAGACGCCGTGCGTGAGACAGCCAGAGAGGCCAGAGAGAGTGAGCTTACAGCCTGATCTGTGGGCGCGCTGCTGAGGGGCACCGGCTGCAGACGCTCGGCCATCTCCCCGTTGATCACCTGTAATCCCAAAACTCTTGCTCAGCACGGGCTATGGCCCCCAATGAACAGCCCCGCTGTGTGTGTTTGCCCCGCACATTCGCATTACCACCGCCCCAGGGTGAGAAAAGCTGTGTGCTGTTGTATTTTGAATGTTTCAAAGCTTCCCCCTGCCGAACCGTAGGCATTTTGCCGAGGATTTTCGAATTGCGACCCGTAAGCAGAACCCGCCCAAATTGCTAAAGCAACATTCATTGATCATTCATAACCGGTAGGGTAAATGACGGCACATGCGCACAACAAACAGCCGTCACGGGCTTCCAGGCGGTGGTGTGGCTGTGGTGCATTTTGCGAGGGTTATCCGTTCTCTTGCTAAACTCTATGGTGCGGCTCGCCATTCGATCGGATTGCTCTCACAGGGCAGCTGTTGTGATGGTGGCAGTCATAACGGTGGGCCGACGACCATACATGGTAGAAATTTATTTAGATAATAATAGCCTATAAAACTAGCAAAACATGGGGGAAAATTTTTAAATGGAACAAGCGGGTGTTGTTGGCCGGACATTGCCGAGGAAAGCAACAAAATTTTCGTACGGTATTGACTCGATTTTTACCCTTTTAGGAGGTTTATAAAATTAAAGTGCCCCCCAACAACACCCCCAGCCAGAAGAGCAGAAACGCAAAGGTGCTAGAAAAGTAACAACACACACCGCAAAAAGGCGAAATAGTTTATAAATATAAAATTTGAAGGAAAACAATCTACCGGTAATGTTGGACGGTTATCGGCATTTCTGTCGCGGGGGATGATAAATAGAATTGGTTGCGCTTATCAATTCTCCATCCGCGTGAAGCTACTGGTTGGTGGGGGGTGTAACGAAAGCGGCATAGAACACACCTGAGCCAATGGAAAAAGTAATAACTGACGGATACTGACAAAGTCAATATATTTTCATGTCTGGCTAGATCCTACCGTTTTGGGACATTTTTTTTCTTGGATATCCGTGGCAAACGTTTAAAAAATGCAATGGCAGTTTTCTTGACAGATTCAAATGGCAACATTTAGGGGTCGGGAAGGATGGGTTTTCAAATGATGAGCAAGAGCCATATTTCAAAAGAGGGCGCTAAGAAGAGCCAGTTTGGGAAAATGGCAAGAGAAGGGATAAAAATCCAAGAGCGGAGGGAAAGTGCAGGGCGAAAATTCCGACTTCCTGTATTGTCAAGTAAAGCTAATGACAATTCTTTCTATCGTCTACGACCCGAAATTTTCGCCCTGACTGACCCAAAGATGTGGAAAAACGTGACAGAGCAAAAGGGATCAATTGACGTTATTTTGCAAGGCCGCCTTCGAAGGGAGTTCACCGGTGGGCCCAAAAATGGGCACTTGTAAATAAGTAGATGTAGCGGCTTCGGAGCTTCAAACGTGTGCGACGGAGACCGGAGTGTCGAGGGACATGCTCTTCGAGATTCTGGACGATGCACCGTGCGCTGGGCTCCACTTTTGCACCAGTGGCACTTTTTCGATCGGGTTCCCGCCGTTCTCGAGCACGATCTGCGGCTGTGGTGACGGAGTGCGCGGTTGCTGGTGGTGATAGTATGGATACGGCTGTGGAGAAGCCCGATGTGAAAGGGCCGCAACGGCAGCACGGGTTCCATTGGGATCGGGTGACGTGGCTCCCATACGTCCCCATCCGCGCATCGACTGTACGGAGTGCGTGGAGGCGATCGAACGGCGCTCGTCGAACTCTTCGAGGTTGCTTCTGAACGCCTTGACGACGCGCAACTGAAAACGGGGGTTCAGACGGGAGGTTTGTTTATGAGCTCGTTCAAAAACGTTCCGAGATTAATTCTGATTTAGAAAGGGCACTATCCTGGGGGGTTTTTTTTATAAAGTTTCGGTCTTTTGAAATAGCAATATCGCCTGCCTTCGACAAAAAATCATCGGATTGTGCTCTTTCTAAACAATAGCTAGAAAAAGTGAGCACAAATGAAAAACGAGAAGTCTGCGCCGCAGAGCGCGAAACCAATCATCCGACTTGCGCGCCCCGGAAGCAAAAAAGCTGCCTCCGGGGCTCACTGATGGCGTTGAGAGCACACTTTCGGATTCCCCAGTTCAAGTATTTTCCACTGACCGCACCACGGCCTCCACAAGCCCTCCACATTTAGGAAAAGAAGAAAAGGGTGGGGTATGGGGGTTAGAAAGATGGGGACGGGAAGAGAAAGGTTGGGGGTCGTTGATATAGAAAAAGGGAAGTAAAAAGTCAAAAGCACTCAAGGAGAAGCCGATGGTCGTAGCGGCAACGCCGGCGAATGTTCTCGTAGGATGATGAAAGTTGTTGGTGGGCTGAGACGGGGACATTCCCATTCTGTCACACTTCTAAATGGAGCACAGGCACTGGAAGCAGCGAGGGGTTGAGCAGAAGGCGGGGAAGGGGGGGAGGTTGCCAAGCTGGTTGATGAGCGGCGCGTTAGAAAAGCAAGTTAGGGTGGGCAGACGCCTAGTTTCCATGGATGGCTGAGGCAAAAGCCGGCCTAATTTTGGCAAAAATTTTTGGTTGTCTAGTTTATGGGAACACAGAACAGATGCCATCTACCATCTTAACTGCAAAAAAAACGCACGGTCAAGCAACTAGGCGACCCAAAAAAATGCGCAGCAGATTTCCAAAAATGGGGAAATTATAATTTTGGATTAGTTGGGTACACGTCGAAAGCCGGTGATAAAACGTATCGAAAATTCTTTCAACGGAATCAATTTTCAATCTTTGAAATTTCGTCTACAATAAAACTAAAAATCATCGACTCTTTTAAAAATGCCGTATCTTCGAAAGCTATTGTCTTTTAAGTCTGTAGCATAGCGCATAGAGGAGAGGGGGGAGCAACAGGAGAGCACAGAGGCCAGGGGTTATAAGCAGGGTGTGTATTTGTGTGGGTGTGGAGGGCTTGGCGGGTGGTGGTGGTGGTGAGAGGGCCAGCGATTCGATTCATGCCCCCCGATCCGTGTGTGGCACCTCAACTTGATCGGCTTCGCGCGCACACAGGTTACAGATGTACCAACCCACCCAACGGGGGTTAAACAAACCCGCGGCGCAAACGCTGCTCGCCATAAAGGGGAGATGGGAGGAAAACAATTTTTGGATTGGGGTTGATTTGTGGGGGGCGAGGGCGGGATTCCATAGGGGCACAAACGGGCCGTTCGACAGGGTCGGTTCGTACTCGTGTATCACAGAAAATGGGAAAGTCGACGGCACGGTATAGCCGGATATATATATATATATATTTCATAATCACATGCGCCACCCAATTCGGCGACGGCAGCTCGTCCGGCGTCTATGCATTGTTGTTCACTAACGATGTCTACGAATAAAAAAAAACTAGGCGCTTGAAACCATATAGCGAGCGCCAACGCATCTTTCAAAAATGGCTTCGTAATCTAGTGTGCGCGCACTATTTTACAAAATCCAAAATTTCAAACGAGTACACGGCAAACAAAAAAAAGCTGCGCGCGCACTTCCGTGTCGTTTTTCCGAGCCTCCTCGGTTCGCGGCTAGGCAAGCCGACAAAGTAAAGGGAGTTTCACATACAAAGCCCTAAAGTAACACGCACACACATGGATCGCACACTGAACGCAAAAGCCGCGACAAAGCCATTCATCCCCCGAGGACACCCCGCAAAAAGGATAAACGGGATGTGTGATCATAAGTTGTCCTTGGGTAAGTCGCCGGCTTCTTGCGAGCCCAAAACGTGATTGTGTGCAACAGAAACTTGGGGAGCACGTGTATAATTAAGGATTAGAGGAAACTGAAGATGAGGCGGGGAATATCCCATTCTATTGAATGGGGAGAGAATTAGGGGCTAACAAGTAGAATGTTTGGCATTTGGGGTTGGGGGCGGTAAAGCGAAAGAGTTAGGAGGAGACCGGGGGGCTGTGGAGGACTGGTAGTGGACTGTGGGGCTGACGCTCCTCGGGCCGTTGTGGTACACGGTCACCGAGGAGGATACCCAAACCAAAGGTCTCCAAGAAGTGCGCTCTCCCCATCGTCGGCAGCCACTCTCGCATACACGCCTGTTATCGCGTCCTCTTTCCCATTTTCCTATTAAACGTTTGAGGGTGGATGGGTGTTGGGGTGGATCGGGGCAGGAAATAGCGCCAAACGATTTAGCAGCTCGGCTAGCCTAATGAAAGCGGGCGGATAATGCAGGAAAGGAGCGTCGTTGGTCGAACCGCTAGAGGCAGTGCGTAAGAAGCGGCCGGTGTCGAATCCAGAAAGACCCTGAATCGCATGCAATCTAGTTTCCGGCGTGCTGGTCATTTGATTAGCAGCATAGGGGCCATTTTCCCTCTTACAAAATGCTTCTCATCAGAGAATTTCCATTGAGTATCTCCAGCTACAGAACTTCCGCTGGGCAATACGAATAGAAAAGGACTGATGAAAAAACAATTGTAAAAGGCGGGTCGCACAAATTCTCGCGCACTATCCTCCGACGGTTTGACCGAAATAGTTCCTATTGCTAGGCGCACAAACGATATAAATGATTTTAGGGGCAGTGAATTAGAAGAGCGAAAAATAGCAGATTGACTACTAGGTTAAGAGTGAACACAGAAGCCAAGGCCGCTAGTGGAAGCCGGCGCTTTTCTAGATAGGCGCCGAAAAACGGATAATGCCGTGCTCTAGCTTCTACAATTCTCTGCTGTGAGAACGGAGCGCGCACAGCGGACACGACGGAAACCAAAGAAAGAGACGCTTTAGAAGGACCCCCTGGCGGGAGCGACATGGGAACGCGGCGTTCAACTCAAAATTCAAAAATAAAAATGAAGAAGTGCGAATTGTTGGAGCTAATAACGACTCCCCGGGGTGTGGGGCGTCGACCGTTACTTCTACCGCAGACATTGGGGCTAGTCGGGATGCTGTTATGCGTGTGTGTAAATGAGCCGTTTTCAGAGAGGGTCCCATATTGTGTGTATGCGATGAGGGCCGGTCCCCGCGGGGGACTTCTGACTGGCCTCGCCACTCTGTCCGCACAGCCAACCTCGATTTTCATTCGCCACGGCCCGTGAGCGATGCGCGCAAGCAGAAAACGTACCTGGGTCTGCAACCTTGTCAGACCACGGATCCACAGAATTTGGCCGGAGCGCTTCTCGTGCGTGTCCGGGTCTTCATAGTCTCCCGGCAACAGCGGGCCGTCGTCAGCCGGCTCACCGCCACCAATGGTCATCGTGGCCGGCAGCGAGTCAGTCGGGATCGAGGTGATCACCTAAGAATTCCAGAAATATTTTTTAATAAAGTCACGCACCTGTCCCCAGAGCAAGACGCCGACGCCGAGTGCCAAGCACCACAACCACTGCTCGACAGTCAACGCGTGGCAGCTGAACCAGCGACCACCGTACTGCACGATCAGGATCTGCGAGATAAACGTGCCGATCCAGATGACGTAGTAGATAGGGTTGCTGAAGAGGCCCTAAAAATTCGAAAATGGATATAGCTCGACGAACGTACCACAAAGATGTTGCGCTCGCCGTGGATCTTCCTGGCGTTGATCTCGTTGAACAGGGTCATCATCACGAACGTGTTGAAGACGATGGTGAAGTGTTGGGTGGGCTCGGAATGGAGTTCAGCACGGCGGCCCGACTTGATCTCGAAGATGTAGTCGCCGGCGAAGATCAGGGTGAACAGGACGGTCAACTGGTAGACGGCGTGTCCAAGGATGTTCTTGCTCATCGTGCGCGAGATCAGTGGTGAGGTCCGACCGTAGGGGCGGCGCTTTAGAAGTTCTTCCGTTGGCATTTCAGTGGCAAGGGCCAGAGAGGCGAGGGTGTCCATGATCAAGTTGACCCACAACATCTGGACAGCCTGAAAAAAAATGGTTGTATTGAAATATTTTCTTTAAAAGAGCTGCAATGCCAGAACTTACCTTGAGCGGGGTATCCTGGATGGCGCAAGCACCGACAAAAGCGACGACCACAGCCACAACGTTGACAGTCAGCTGGAACTGCAGGAACTTGGCGATGGAGTCGTACACGTTACGGCCCCACATCACAGCCTAAAAGAAAGATTTGGAACCACAAGGGAAAAGGCACCTTGACGATGGACGTGAAGTTATCATCGGTCAAAATGATGTCGGAAGCCTCCTTGGCCACGTCCGTACCAGCAATACCCATAGCAAAGCCGACATCGGCCTTCTTTAGGGCAGGGCCATCGTTGGTGCCGTCACCGGTGACAGCCACGACCTCGCGAGAGTCCGTAACCTTCGAGTCGATGATGCCCTTGACGAGAACGTATTTGTCGGAGGGTTGGGCACGAGCGAGCACACGAAGCTTGGGCCAGATCTGATCGAGCTTCTCCTGGGAGACCTCGCCGTTTGCGTCACGGATTCTGAAAAGTGAAGGTGATTAGTGTTACATAAAGTTAAGAAATGATTTTACATTTTTGATGAGAAAATATTACCTTGCGTTGAATTCCTTGCCCTCAAGCGCCAGGAAGTCCTCGCCAGGCTTCAGGATGCCGCAAGCGGTAGCGATGGAGCGCGCAGTGTTGACGTTGTCACCAGTGACCATGCGCACGGTGATTCCGGCACGCTGGCAACGAGCAATGGCTTCGGGCACCTCCGGTCGGACAGGATCTTGGATTCCCACAATGGCGATGGCCGTCAGGTTCTCCGTGATCTCGGCCTCATTCTCCCAGTCGGGTTCGGCGTGGTAGACGATGTCATTGTCGGCGTGAGATTGGCCAGCGGGCACATAATCCTTGTATGCCAAACAGATCGTGCGCAGCCCATCGGAAGCCATCGGCTCAATGACCTCGCGGACCAGCCGCTCGGCATCTTTTTCGGTGAACTTTTGCAGCTTGCCGTTGGGCCCGAGGAAGTGGGTGCAGCGCTTGGTGATAATCTCCGAGGCTCCCTTGGAAAAGACGCGGAATCCGCTGTTGTGCTTGATGACGGTGGACATGCTCTTGCGGACGGAGTTGAACGTGTAGACCTTGAAGATTCCCTCCTCCGGGTTGCGATCACGGATCTCCTGATATGAGCGGCCAAAACCGAGGACGAATCCGAGCAGACCGCATTCGGTCTTGTTGCCGAGTTGAGTGGCCTGCTCACCGGGTAGCTTCGGTGGGATCACCTGAGTGGAATAGGCGCTGTTGATCGCGATGCAGTTCAGAAGGAGATCAAGCGTGTTTTTGTCCACAGCCTCCGGCTTCGGGGTCTCCTTGAAGTGCTGCTCGTTGATGTACGACTGGACGACGGTCATCCGATTGGTGGTCAGGGTTCCGGTCTTGTCAGAGCAAATTGCCGTGGCGTTACCCATCGTCTCACAAGCGTCCAAATGGCGCACCAGATTGTTGTCGTGCATCATTTTCTTGACGGAATACGCAAGGGACAGGGTGACGGCGAGTGGGAGACCTTCCGGGACGGCCACGACAAGCACGGTAACGCCGATGATCAAGAAGTTGATGAAGTACTTGAAGTCCGCCACTTCGAAGCTTTTCTCCTCGATGGCGTACTTGTAGATGCAGAAACGGATGACCAGGATGAGGACGGTGCATCCGGCGACGAACGAGCCTAAATGGGGAATTGTCGATATGCAAATAAATTCTGACCAGCATATCCGATTTGGATGGCCAGTCGGGTCAGCTTGGCTTGCAACACGGAACGATCCTTCTTGCCTTCTTCTGGGGGAGGAATTGGTGACTTGACCTCGCCATTGGCCTCGATTTTCTCTTCTAAAAAGGTACCGTCATACGAGGAAAAAAGTAAGACTGTAGCGCCGCTTTTCATACCCCCGCCGTGCCAATCATCAAAAACCCGTTCAGGGGCTTCTAATCCTTCATGTATATTTTGCTGTCAAAAGATCATCTGTCGCGCACCGGGGGTATGGCATCGGTGTTTTTGTAAATAGGTTCACCCACCGATCAGAGGATCGCGTGTGCTGTCCTCCAGGGCTACATCCGAGTGGTTGCCGCCTAAATTCTCTGTACAATTTTGGTCACGCCATCGGCCAACGCATGCTAGTTGACCCAAACGAGGGGATGGGCTCGCAGAGAAATTGAAAAGAGCTGGGTGCCATAGACGGCCGAAGGAGGACGAGCCAGGGGGGACGATAGACGGCAGACGGTTACACGAGCAGTCTTTTGAAAGATGGTGTCGAGTTAGTTTTAACGGAAAAATTAAAAATGTTTTTGCCAAAGGGGACAGTGGCTAGAAGAAATCTCGAGCTCTCATATCCAGACAGAAATAGACAGAGGCCATTCCAAAGAAGACGATAACATGTATCATCGACCGGCCGGAACACCCGCTCACCCTGCGAGTTCTGCTTCTTCTGCATCGACCGCCGCTTCTCTGTACGGGGGTTATTGCGACATCAGGACAGGACATGATTAAAAATGGTAAACCCCGAAAAGACACCCGACACTAGTTATTTTTTAGCTATGTACTTCTCGAAGCGCCAAAATTTTTTTCGTTAACACGTTGTTCTATAAATCCCCGTTGACCGAAACGGTTCCGAACAAGACATGGACAACCAAATTCCCGAGATAGGCAGAGCGCTGGGTTGTTTTGTGACGAGCAAGGTGAGAGTATGAAAAGTTTCGGCAAAATGACATGTTCGTGGAAAAATTTTTGGCTTTCATACTCCCACATGCACAACGATTCGCAGAATATACCGTACCGTCGCGCTTGGCCGTTTTCCGTTGTTCTTGGGCCACGGCGCCGAGCAGCGACATGATGATACCGGTCTGGGAGCTGACACCGACGGCGGTGACGAGCATCTTGCCCGACCCCTCCATAACGTGCGTGCCAGAGAGCAGAACCTAAAGAACACTCATCAGAGACACTCAAAAAGTACCGGGTCATGCTCCACAGTCTTCTTGATCTGATCAGATTCACCGGTCAGCGAGGATTCGTCAATTTTTAAGTCATTTGCTTGGATAAGAAGTCCGTCAGCGGGCAAAAGATCACCTGAAAAAAAAGAGTTTAAAAGGGAAAAGACAAATGGTAAATACCGTATTTGATTTGAGCAATATCTCCAACAACGAGTTCGTTAACGACAATCTGGATCGAGTCTCCACCACGGATCACCGAGAATTTGTGCTCGGTCTCAATCTTGGCTTGAAGGCCTGAAATCAATGCTTTATAAACATCACGAATTGAATAGCTGACCTCGGAACTGCCGCTCCTTGGTGTAATCGTTCAAGGCTGTGACGAGCACAACAACGATAACCGATAACAAGATGGCAACGCCTTCGATCCAGCCGGCTTCGTGCTCGGAGTCGTCGTTGGCGCCATCTAAAATTGTCAAGGATAACTTTTACCTACTATTTTCAGCTATGCTTTAAACGCTCCCCGGTCAAATTTTCGTTTCGGATAGCCGACAATTTCTGGAAAAGCCTCAGCCATTTACTTTCCATTAGACGAATGATGGCGAGAGAGCCTTGGTACGGAAGGTCATTACGCCAAGTGCAGAGGCCGAGGGGCCACCGCCGTAATTTTATTATACGGCAGAGGCCCCGGGTTGAAGATTACTTATACCTACGATGCGAAATCGGCGTGGGCCAGCTAGCCAGGCAAAGTAAGAATGCATATTTCACCGCTTCGACAATATTATTTCTTTCAGCCTCGAATCCTCTCTCCATCCACTTATTTTTTTGAGATTCCCACAACGTGGGTGCTCTGGAAAGCAAAGGCCTTCGATAGCTGGTCCCCCAAAAAGCTATGCCATTTACGGGGGCTCTCAATCGGGGAACACAGAACGAAGCGTTGCCCCCCCCCATGCCCCGACGACCTCTTTTCCGGCCCAGCGGCAAGTAATGCAATTTCTAGTAGGGTCCCCGACGCTTCGCTTCAGCTCGTCGGCTGAATTTGTTCGCTTTTTGCCAAAGTCAAAGGTGGAGGCCGAGTCGGACGTAGTTCAGTTGTACATCCATCGCAACAAGCAATATTTCGCCTAAAGAGAAATGAGGTGAAATCGAGAAGGCTGCGCGGCTAATCAGCGATAACGAGCTCAATTTCTGGCATCGCCCGTCTAACGGATTAGCCGTTTTTGCGTTTGGCAAGGGCCCGACTATGTGCATTCCGCATTAAGACGATTATTCCAAAAAAACAGGGTTCCGTTTCAAATTGGAAAATTTGATGCAAAAAGAAACATCCACCTTACGACCCCCACCGTGCCTCTGACACCCGAAATCTTTTCACCAGTGGCCGAAAAGATTTGCCCATAGGCGTGCATGTGGAGGGGTCCCGACGCGTGTAAAATTCATAAGATGCTCGGCAGAGGGCCTGGCCGCTGAATGGCACCCACGGCGGCGTCGCTGGGGAGAAGGGTCTGTAGACGGGGAAGGTATTGGCTCGCCTCCCCCACAAATAATTGCCCTCTAAGAAAAAAGGCCCGCATTCCAGACTCTAGTCGGATCGGAATCGAAAAAATAAATAATATCAAAAAATTTGGTACAACAAATTTAATTCGGATCGTTATTACAATTTTTTCCGTACAGAATTTTTTAAGCTCCCTGCTTTCTACGGCGAAATTCACGTCCTACACCCTGGCCAACGACAGCCGGATAGCCTTGGTGCTCGGGAGGGAGAAGAGAAGGGGAAGGAAGTGGTCGGGCAGCTTTGTCCAATCGCCAACTGACGCCGCACAATCAACGACGAGCCGGGGAATACTCACACATGTAAGACAATCTGGTTTGCCCAAAGTCGCCCGGCATCTCAATAATCGGCCTCCCATAACGCCCCCAACCACGACTCGAAAGCAGTTGTAACCAATTCCCGTTCCCCGAAAAAGTTAAAATAATGCAAACAGACCTCCTTCTTCTGGTGGCCGATAAAATGAAAGTGCGAGCGATACGATGGCTGATACGAGTAGAATTATCAACGTCACATCCTGAAATTAGAATATTTGAATCGCCAAAGATTTTTCATCTTTCTTTTTTGTTTTCCCACTGGCGCGGGACTTTATCAAACGGCGTGGGCACTCGGCGCGTCTTCTCATACCCCCTGACCGAGATAAACTTTTACAAGCCTCTAAAGCTAGGCTATGAGTCAACAAACGCAGGATAACAGAATTGAACTGCTTTTCGAAGCTCGCCATTTTCCAGCTAGTGAAACCTTCCGCTTGGATTTAGTGGCTTTAAGACGTGAATCCCCCAAATTTGTATTGTTTCATGCGGGGTGCACTCAATTCGGGTCCCCTTCCGTGGTGCCTTCGTGTAACAAAAGACGTCGGGATAGGAAGGGCCCCCTCCTCCTCCACGAATGGAAAAATGGAGCCGTGCGGGGGAAGGGGCACACGGAAAACGGGCCCCGGGATACGCTTTAGGCCTTAGCCATCTCGGCCCTCGGCGCTGCCCGTCGACATTATTCCCACGGGAGCCCGCCAATGCGGGGAGAGCTACGCCAAAAATGAGCTACGCCATCGCCCCGGCTCCAGCTAATATTCTGGCGGCCGAGGGGTTGAAACAATGAAAACGCTTCAGCAGCTAGTGGGATCGACAAATTTAGGCAAATCGAGGGGCAGGGATCTACGACCAAAACGAACCGTTTTTGACAATTAAAATAAAAGAGGTCACACCTGTAATGCTTCCCAAACGAGCTGAAGAAAACATTTAGGAGGGTGTGGCGGTATTTCATTAGCGCCGTATACTGCTCGCCGCTTGGTCAACTCTGGAAAGAAAAATTTTATTAAAAATGCTGCAACATATTTGAAAATGTATGCCGACACCAAAACCAAAATATACTCACCTGCATCAGTGTTGGGCAGCCCGAAGTTAGGGTCCGTGTTCAATCGTTTACAGAGACCATTTAACCCGCCGTAATCTTGGTCTATCTTCTCCTTTGCCTCCGGTCCCCTGCAACGAAAATTGTTGAAGAGCCATGACAGAAACCACGTACCTAAACTCCATGAGCGTTTTCAGCTCATCGAGCGAGACGGAGTACTCGTTCGAGCTACCCATCGTTCTGAAAATGAAAGATTAGAAATTACAGTTGCTCAGCATGAAAAAAATGGTAAAGACTATGTTGCAGGCTCCAACTAATTTTTGCCCTTCCTAAGAATTTTGACCAAAAATAATCGTCCTTCTGACGCAGATGCTTATCAGCAAATTAATCCCATGCTATCCGATTCGGGCTCAACTATTTTAAGCCGACCCTATCGGAAGCGTGGAGAGCGAGGGGTGCAAGGCGCTTTCTCCGGCCTATAGAGAACGATGGACGGTGCGGTGACAATACCCAGACTAAAAAGAGGGCAGAAGCAGCGCTAAGCCGACAAAAATATGTAAATGCTCAGCGGATTTGAGGGTGGCGGCGGGGGAGTAAGCATCGTCGCGACTGACCCATTGAATTATTTTAGTAAGCTACGGGGCAAATGTTTGCTTTGCTAATTAACAATAAGAAAATACTTGTGCCGGGGAACACTAGCCCCGAAAATCAACTTGAGAAATGGCGGAAATATAGACTTCGAGTGTCTGAATCACAGTCAACAAAAAAGCGGCGCCGCGAGAGGCCATGAGTCATTTCCGTTATTGCAATAAAAGAGATGTCTGATTAGCTAGAATACTAAGATGGAGAGATAAAATATCGAGGAAATCGAAAGAGCGTTCGACAACGCTAACAATTTTGATATTCGAAGCTACGCCGGGTTGTGTGTCGCAACATCACGAAGACCCCAAAAATAGGATCAACAGGTGATGTTAGCTATAGACAGGTGATTGGAGCGCTCTCTACGAGAGATGCACGACCACAAACAAACAACAAAAGTTGGCGGCCGGGGTCGTAGGGAGGGCACTCGGTCTCTCTCTCCCTCGTCTGTCCAATTTTGGCCCGGTTATCGATTGGCAGGCACATTCCCTCGCTCACACAGCCCCGGAGACACCTTTGCCGCTGACCATTGGGACAGTTTAGAGCGGGGAAAAGTCGTGGGTCCAGCCAAAATCTGCGTCCGAGCAATAGTTCACAGCAGGGAGAGTAAAAACTATATTATTTAATGTGAAGCACGAAAAATGGCAGTGCTTTAAAATACTTTGAAAATGCTGGACAAAACCCAGCAAGCCTAAAGAGGCAGTAAACCCAGGTTTAATCCGTTGTTTACAGGCCGCAATCCCCGCGCCGGGTGCGGGGTGTTTCGGGTTTTTCAGGATAGGAGGCGCGGCCAGAGATATATTTTTCTCCCCGGAAAATGATTTACGGGTTTTCACGAGCGCGACACCCATCCCCGCGACCATAGGACCGCATGCAAGAAAGTTGCCCCCTTATATTTAGCACAGATATCAATAAAGGTCGCCTGAACAAAAAGTGACATCAGTAATAGCTTTTTTAGTCAGTTAGCCAGCTGGCAATACGGGTCAAAAAGGATTAGCGCATACCGCCGAACCGCTGCCCAGACCCGCAATTAGGACGGATATAGGATGCCTAGGCCCCCGAGCTAACTCTCCAGGTCCGCCCGACCCGGCCGCGTGTATGGGATCGCTTAGGGCCCGCGCTGGAGACAAATTGGATTGTCAGGAGCCGCGCCAGCAAGGAGGTGCATGCAGGGAGAAGCCCGCGCGCCGAGGATGTTGTGTATGTGGGTGCGCCGGTGGCCATGCTCCTCGCCACCTAACGGCATCCAGATGTGCCATAAAGAGGGAGGGGGCCCCCAGATCGGAGGCTAGACATAAATTTCCCCGTCGGCATGTGTGTAGCGGCGCATTTCCCGACGGTGGTCGAGGTGTATGGTGCGGCGAAATTTGTGGTTGGACTTTCCCCTTACGTTGAGATGACAGAATTGAGTGCTCAGGACGTAAAAATATTTTCCTGTTTTCTCTATCTAGTTTGGTCGGGGCAAAACTTATGCCGAAAATTTTGGGGAAGCCAGGTGTATGCGTGTATGTGCATATCGAGGCTTGCTAGTCTGCGTGTGGACGGGATGGGGATCGATGTTTTTTTTCGCTAGCCCCGCGGGGCAAAAGAGTGCCGTCGGCCGTTGGCCAGGGGCTGCTGTTCGGGGGTCATCCCCAAAAAACAACTGCCTCAGTGCCCCTGCTGCCTTGCCCCCGTTATTCAGCCATCCCGTCCCAATCACTCAGAACGCCCATCGTGCCCGACGCTATACAAATAGTCGATCAGGGGGGGGAACTGATTGGTACCGGGGTAGACGAGTGGATAATGGACCACGATCAAGTGTTTTCAATGCCGCGCAGATCAACGTAGGGGGACACAAGACCAAAAGGGGGCAACGCGCCACCGATTTTTCGCCCTCGGTTTTAAAATGATGTCACTGTAGGTGGAGGTTGGTTGTGGGAGAAGGAGGGAGGCAACCAGTGAAATGGGCCAACCAGCGATCCTATCTAGTAGCCTCCCAAAAGGTTAAGGCATGCGTGAGCATTTGCCAGACCCCAGCGAAAAGGGGGGCTCCGACGCGACCAAAAATTCCTTTTCTAGCCAAGGTAGGGGAGAATCAGACGTAAAATATAAGCAACCGGAATCCCAAAAATCCTGGGAGCGCGGAAATAGGTAAAACCCAGGCCATTGCAAAAAATAATCAATGACCTAACTACTCGATAGACAAAAATAGCGTGTGTACGCGATACTAGGCCAGGGAACAGGGTGAAAAGACATGAGCAATTCACCGGGCCCTATTGTTGGTGACACATACGGGACGCAAACAATTCGTATCTCGGCACGCTGTCCCTCGCAGCTATTCACGAATCCATTAGGATAGAATGGTCAACACCTCAGGGCATGTCGAAGATGCCCCCTTCAAGAAATATGCTATAAAAATAGTTTTCTACTTGCCTATCAATACAAATAACACACAATGCGGGCGCCTATAATTTTACTAACTAACGAAAGTCGCCAGACAGGTTCTTGAGAAAAGAAAACAGGGTGCGGTAAAACACAGGCTCAAGTGCTTGTTTGCTTGCTAGCCGTCCTGGAGATTTAACAACACGCGCTTGCCGGTTTCTATATACAAATCCCCCAGCTCTCAAAATAAATCGGCCAAAATCAAATCGGGTTGGAGAAAAGGAAGGCTATAGTGTGCAGCTGCCGAGCCCGCAGAGGGAAGTGCCTCAACCGGTGCCGAAGACTGATAAGCGTCCCTACGTAATAGGAAAATCTTATCTAAATGCGGCCTGGGAAGGCAAAATACTTGAGCACAAAAGTTTCTCTGAGGGAACGGCCTAGACTGGGGAGTTCGACTTTTTCGGGATCGATTCCCGGTCGTAGGGATTCACTGGCCGCGGGTCTGGTTTGGCGCCGGGGTCTCGTAAAAATAATTTTGGATTAGGGGCCCGAATTTAAAGTATTGGTTCGGGATGGGTCGTCCCGGGCGACAGGATTAGTCCGGGGGGAGACGTTGGCTGGGCACTAGGGGCATCTTTGGCGTTTTCTACCAAACCACCATTCTAAAGCTTGGGTCTAGAAGAGATATAAATTAGCATAAACAAAAAAAATATAAATACAAAATCAACTTTCAAAAAGTCGAATCGTGGGGAAAAAGAATGCTGAGCAAGCAACGAAATACACCCCATTACACCCAAAAGTTATGTGGAGCCTTGCGGAACAGAGTTTCCTTGCGTAATTGTAAAGGAATGTAAAAAAAAATATTTTTTAAAATAAGAAAACTAACCACTCTTTTCTCTCCGTTGGCCTAGCGGCAGTGCCCAGATCGCGTGCGCACGGGGTAGTTTGGTGGCCGGTCCTCAGAAATGGTGGCTGGACGGCTCGCGCTGCATTACCTGGAACAATATATATTCACTTTTTAGATCGCCTCTGCATGACGTTATTGAAAATAGACATTTTTCTCGAAAATCACAAAGTCTAGGGCCCGGAATTCGCCCACAAAGATTGAAAACGTTATGATGCACACAGGCGAGATTATGATGCATGCACTCTCTTTGATTACCTTTCCGGGATCCGGGGGAAACGTTTTACGCGGATTTTTAGCCGAGTGCCGTTTATTATTAGTACTCTTCCACAACAATCGCCACTTTTATGGCACCCCTGGAAATTATGCGTTCGGCGGCGCCCGGCTGGCCACCCAATCTTGCTAGGCCTGCAGCGTAGACGCTGTTACAACTCGCGCCGGGCTCAGGTTGCGTCTTGCCGTCACCGCTCCCCCGGCGCCTTTTCAATTTTCAAAATCAAAAAGCGAGCAAGCAGGGCGCGAGGTGCGAGAAACCGTTGGGTAAATAATGCCCGACGGGGCGGTGGGGGAGGGGGTCAGAATGGAAGAAGGTCAAACAGTTCGGGCCATATCCCCCACCTTCACCACTTTCAGGGCCGGCAGAAAAAACCTTGTCGGGTCGTTGGGTCCTCGGGTGGATGGAGTGGGGGTATTGAGTGGTGTCAGAGGGAGGGTGGAAGTGAGGAAGAAGTAAGGCTGCTGTCAACCCAGGAAAATATGAGTGCCACTACGGGTCAACAAACAGCACGACGGAGCACCCGAAATAACTGGCGCGTTCGGGTGGACGGCGCCCGTAGATAAACAAGGTTACATGGGAATTACATGTATGTTTGTGGTTTTACGGACAATTTTATTCTCGAGTTTTGTCGAGTTTCCGACCGACAAGGCTACACGCCCATTCGAACCCATAGATTTTCGGCAATTTGAGAGGATGGCAACGGGACGCTACTAGTTACTTACTGACAGTGACCGCAAGCAACATTCGGTTCGAATGTTTTACTTGGGTAATCGGACAGGCAAATGTAAAAGATAAGTGAAATAAAATAGCATTTGGCGATAGAATCGCTACCAGGCGTTTCCTTTTACTTTCTTACTACAGTTTGTGACAAAAGGATAGGTGGCTCGACTTTTTTCGTAATTTCTCAGCGATTTGGCATATAGGTATCCTGACCGGTAGCTGGTTTTGTAGCCCGAAAAAAGGCGAATTTTTTGGTATACTGGACAAGCCTTAACAATGAAGTAACAGATTTTTATAAGCATTTTAGGTTTTCACCAGGCAATCTCATTCCC